AGACATTTGTTAGGAGACTTTGAGGAGTGAGGCCTAAGGCGCTTTATTTATATGCAGATAAGTCCATTAAATGGTGACAAGTGGCAGAAGCTATGGGAACTGAAGCAGTCTAGATCCTCCAAGCCAGCAGGTGTGAGAACCGAAAGTGCCACGTTCTGCTGGGGTCCACCTGTGTCCCGACACAAATGCCACCCAGACCACGGGAATCACAGACAATTCGTCTTTCATTTTAGGGGTGGGATTCTCCAGGATTTGAGACAACAACCCTGTCTTGGTTTGGGGCTGAACGCAGCGGATAAGAACCCACGCTCTGACTCTGGAGAACAGTGAAGGCGGCTTGGAGGAGCCCTTCCTCCCCCTCTCAAGCCAGTTTGGAAGTGTTGGAGTGGGTCACTCCTCCTGACAAGCAGCTATTTTAACTCTGGAAGCAGCAGCCAGATGCTGTAAATGGGACTTTTTTTTATTTAAATGATGATTTCTGAAGCCCAAAGGATGCAGAGCCCGCGGTAATTGCATTTTGTTATGAGGAAACAGCAGCTCAATGCAATTTGATTGTAAAAGCTGGTTCCCTCTCACCCGCTCATGGTTCCCGCTGGTCTGGGAGACAATGAAATGCCAAACAACAGGCTCTTCTTGGTCTACCCAAAGCCCAAGTGGGGGGCACTCAGCAGGGTCCCTGAAAGTCTCACACAGCACCAGGCATTGAAGAAGGCTTCTCCAAAATCAGATGAATAGCGAATAAGATTAAAAGAATTCAGGAACCCCACTTCCTCATCTAAGGAACACATCTGTCTATGATGAAAACAACATTTACAGAGTTTGGTCCCTCCTTCCGCTCCCCTACTTCCTGCCTTAATTGTTCCCCACAGCATTTCTTCCAACTAGGAACTAGAAACTTTCCTGGTCGCGTGCCTCATCTGTCTCCCATACCTGTACCTCAGCCTCGCCAGGAAAGTCAAGTCTGAGGGTGGAAATCACTGCCACAGACCCAGCACATGGAACACACCACCAGACACTCTTATTGAAATGAAGGGATGGACATTCTTTCTTTCCATGACGCCTCTGGCTCCCACTTTCACTTCACTCTCCCCTTACATGTGGGGATGTGTTCAAGTTCCCATTTCAAGTAGAACCAGGGCACAGCCTCTGGCCTTAGGGGAAGGCACTGTGTGGGGGTGAAGTGGGTGCATGGAGTCAGGCTCACGTCTGATCATGTCTCTCGCAGCTCGGAGGGGAGGGAGATTTGCCTAGTGGACTACAGTGACCACCAAGGATAGGAGACTTCGGGCCTACCAACAGGCTCCAGAAACCCACAACTTGGGATTGACCTGCAAGTGCATTTTGGAAACATGAGTGGGTGTGCTTCCAACAGAGTAGACCAATGACCCCGCTTTGGCATACATTTCTAAATAACCAAAGAATTCAAGTCAGGATGTAACACCTTTTCCATTGATCAGAATCCAATTTTAAAGCCATCAGTTGAAAAGGCAGGTAAGGAAACCAGAAGAAGAGCAAAGCTCACTCCAGGGAGAGCTCCCTCTGAGGCAGTTCCACTAGCAACTGTTTATTAAAAAAAAAAAAAAGCAGCGGTGACTCCCCTTGACAACTGTGGTTGTGCGCTAGTATGAAATACTTTATCATATTTAATTAATAACTGTCAATGGCTGATAACGGAAGCTTATTAAAATGTCACATTTCCTTTATTTTCACACCAGGCGGGACTGATATATCTAACCAATGCAGTGGGAGCTTGAGTTAAAAGTTATCTCTCCGCACACAGAATAAACAAAAAACCCGTATCGATTAAGCCAGTAATGGTGCTCTCTTGTTAAGTGATATTGGTTCCTTCTGTTTACTAATAAATAGAATAGGATGATGAAGGACATTATCTTCAAAGTCAATGTTTAAGCACCTGGACCCCTGGGAAAGATGGCAGCATAAAGGCGTGTTTATATAGGGGCTCTTGCCCTGCAACACACACATCCAAGAACTGAAAAAAGAAGCTGGCTATAATGCAACGAATAAAAGCCACCACCCCATGCCAGGGCCTCCGGAGGAGCACCTGACAGATCCAACAAAGTTGGGGACTAATCAGAGGAGGACTATCACATTTCCCAAGCAGGCCACAGTTGCTGGGCAGCTGATGAAAAGGTTCACAGGACACAACCCATCAGTTGGAGAGACAAGGGCAGGTGGCAGGCAGCAGAGAAACTGCACACATAGTGAGTACGCAGAGTACAAACCGAGGAGAGGAAGTTGGGATCTGAAGAGAGAAGCAGTAACTCAGTCTGTCACACAACCTCTGGCTTCACCGAACCCCAGAGAACAGAAACACAAATCTCCTCTACCGCTGGGGGAATTCCCTGGAGTTTCCTCAATTTCACTGCATAAAGTGATCTCTCCAAAGACTCAAGGGGAAAAAGATGTGACCCAAGGATCGAAGAGTTGCTATGTGACTGCTCACAAAGAATAGCGAGACGCACATTTAAAAATAGACAAGAAAATCCAATGGTGGTGAAAATCCAGTCCACCAAAGGATGAAAGCATCAACTCTCAAATGTGGAGTCGTTGTATGAGAGGGCTGGCAGTGAACACTGTGTTCATTCAAACACAGAATTAAGTCTAGATAACTCTAGCAATTACCTATTGCTATATACTTTAAGCTGCCTGACTTCCCAGGTAAAAGCTGCCAATTCGATTTGATTATCTCCTCTAACTCTACCAAAATGAAAACATACAAAGAATACCTCTCCTGAGTAGTGGAAGAATGTCTCGCATTACAAAAAATGGGGTTTATATCTTACCCTTAAAGGTTAGTACAACAAAGAAATTCCTCAAAAGACGTAATGCTGATTACCTGGTGGACAGGGGTCTAGGGGTAAAAAAACCCAATTACTAATACTTTGGTTTGTAGATTGATTTATTGTACCACTAAGCCAACCAGTGAACAGCTTTGGTACTCAGAGATAATACCTGCATGGTCCACCCCTCACAGTATTACAAGGATCAAATGAGCTGCTGAACATGAATTTCTTTGGAATCTATAAGCAAGGCTATAGAACCACATTTCTAGATTGTCTGGAAAGAACTCACTACATTAAGGAGTCCAAATCAGATATTCTAAGAAACAAAACAACAAATACCTATGACGGATCCAGTCCTACTTATTTCCCTTCACTTGTACAGTTTAAAGGTACTGGTTAGCACTATGAAAAGGAAATTCATTACTTCCACAGCTCCTGAACTGAACTATTTTAAACTAGAAAACAAAGATAGCTCAAGAGCTTAAATGTTGCCAAAAACCCAAGAAAAATCTCACTCGATTTTCATTTATTGATTCAACAAATATTAAGTGCATAATATTGGCCAGGCACTATTCTAAAGAGTAGACACAGTTCCCAAATACTTAAAACTGAGTAGACCATAATTGAAGACAAAGAGGAACTGGAAAACTAAACAAAGTCAGTGTCTGTTTATATTACAATTTATATGGATATATTTTATTGATGCTTAAAGACAACCCTTAAAACCAGGGGGAAACACCTAAGTGCATAGAATCACACACAGCCGATAAAAGGGATAAATTATTTTTGAGGTCTAAACGTTGAGAATGCGAAAGATTCCTGGTTGCTTTGGAAGCAGAGTAAAATTTCTAATTCAGAAAACAAAGTCAGAAGAGGCAACCATTGCCTCTATATACCTCTTGTCTGGGGTAATATGAATATGAGTAAGCCAGAGCAGATATTACTAAAGGCCTACCAATTATGTCATTAAAACATTGAAAGAAATCATATGTCTTGAAAAAAGCCTATGAGGGAAATCTAATAGTTTATCCGAATAATAATTCTATCTTCGAGGGGCCAAGATCTGATCACTTCCTCAACAACACAGTAAAGATCCTGATAAAAAGGCAAGAGAGAACAATTTCTTTGTCTATTGCCTCTTTCCCCTTACACATCAGACTTGAAAACACAAAGAATTATGGTAGGGAATGGAAGCCTCATTAAAATACTGGTATACTGTCAGGTATTTATATGGAAGTTTGTAACTTTAAATAAGGAAGATATTATTTTTATGTATCTTTTATACCACAAGGAAATAACATATGAACAACCCGATCTCAAAGACACTATCGGCTTCTATATGAGCCATCTATCTCATCATCTCTAGTTTGGAAGAACATCAGTCTTTCTTTGATCCAAAAGATTACATGAGTTCTTTGAAGAGATCCTTCTAAGGATGAAAAAGATGAAATCTTTCGAAGGATGAAGGTGACTTCCAGGAATTTAAGTAACATGGGAGTGAAAGAAAACCAAATTCGGTGGAATTAAGACAAACAAAGCTGTCACAAGTCCATGCAGAGCTGGTTAAAACACAATGCTTAACTGGGGGTAAGGCCCTCACTTTGAAGACAGTGGGCACAACTGCACATCTTGTGGGGTGATATAAGTTGCAGCTTTTATTTTATTTTTCTACTACTCTTGTGGGGACTATCCCAGGTGGTGCTGCGGGGTTGGGGACATGCAGTGCTGGGTATTGTGCCCTGAGTCTCTCGGCACTTGCACTGGCCCAGTTGCAGGGTTGGATCAACACTCTAACAGCTTCCATGTCCAAGTCTACCATGGCTCCTCTTTCATTCCCCCAAGTCCCCTGCCAATTCCAACTTTCAACAAAAAAGTAAAGGATCATAAAAGTAGATGAAAATTCTAAAACTTGGCAAATAAAAATTTAGACGACACAGGGCATTTTTTCAAAATAAACTAGAAAGAACTTTTCCCCTTCAATGGTCTATTTTATAACTAGTAAAGTGCACCAAACAGGGATTTCCAATTCCTTAGAAAGCTATACTAAAATATGACAAAGGTACAGTATTAGATTAGCAAAAGTTTTATATAAGCATAAAAATTCGACTTCCCACTCTTTACAAACTTGAAAATGACCAGAAGATAGTTTTTACTTAAGATCTTTGAAACCAAGCAGCTGAGTGAAAAATTCCAAGACAACTTTTGGAATGCTTTAATCAACAGAACGGAAGGAAGTACACAAGAGAACTTTAAAGCAAAATTAGTGATTCCAAGAGTGATCCAATGCCAAAGTACTCACACCTCACAATGACAATACAATCAGATGCAAGAAGGCAAAGTTAAAACCAGAGAGTGTGGAGGGAGAGATATGACACCTCTGGGCCCTTGGAATTATCAAGACACGTTCAGCTGGTGTCCTCAACTTCCGGTCTCCCCAGATCTTAGCTGGTGGTTTGGGACAAACAGCATATTTGGTCACAAAGAGCAACAGCGGAGAGCCGTTGTACAGGAATGGGGAAGGAAGCAAGAATATTGGAGCCGCGGCAGATTTTTGACTCTAAAAGCATAAAAGAAGACTGAGCACATGAGCGCACTGATGAGGTTTTGTGCTCTCTTGTGACAGGCGCCAACTGAATCACGGCAATACACTATGTGAAGTTACTTTAGTGGTACTTGGGTGGAAACAGGGAGTACTACAGGAAGGTTACAGATGGTATGGAGCAAATACACACTGAAGCACTAGAATAGCTATGATGTTTTAACTTAAACTTGAACTTGGTGGAGGAAAGTTCTTTCTAGTTGACATGTAGAAGATAATCTTGCTTCATAACGAGGACTGAAGAATTTAATTTCCTAGAAAGTTCTATTAGTCTTGATCTTGTCCCTACAAAGAAAATAAAAGGAACAGTCATAATAAGTTTATGAGTATAATCTACCCTATTTTAACCAAGCACTTAATGAAAGCATCTACAAAGTCTTAAAGTCAAAAATCCTTGCTTATCTGTGATTATTACAAGAAAAGCATTTACCATTACTTACACATATTGTAGCACTTTATTCTCATCTTAAAATCTGACTAGAAATGAGGAATGGCTCTGAAAAGAGATTCCTTTTTTGTGGTGGTGAAAATGTTCTAAAATTAGACAGTGGGGAGAGTCCGACTCAATGAATTTTATGGTTTGTGAATTATATTTAATAAAGATGTTATTAAAATCTGATTAGAGAATCAGTTTTCTTATCATTTCATTTGGTGAAATTGTCCATATCTACTAAATACATGCCCTCGGTCACCACCAATTATCCTATTTGTATATTTTAACACTTTAATTTGTCAAACTAACCATATTAGAAACTAAGAAACTACTTTCTGCTAAGATCTGTTTGTCTAAGAGGACACCAGAAGTGAATACTCATCATTAGGTATCATACAACCTGCTAAACTAGAGTCTTAAAACTGCCATTCAAAGAATATTCAATTAAGACCATCTTTTTACAGTCTTAATGGGCCTAATTATCTATGAAGACTGTTGCAGTACTACTAAACAATAACCCCTTTTCAGAAAAATAGTTTGAATTAATGGGTCACATTGATGCCCAACATGACTTAAAATCAGACTGAAAATGGAATCAAAGGGAAATATAATTTCCCTGTGATTTAAGCAAGTTTAACGTAACTTTACCTGAGGAAGCGTTATATATATATATATATATATATATATATATATATATATATAGGTGTGTGTACACATGTGTGCACACGTGCATGGGTACTAATATACACAAACCATCTCTACTAAATCTCATCTTTTTTTTTGCTTTGGGTCCATACCTGGTGATGCTCATGGATAACTACTGGCTCTGCACTCAGGAATTGATCACTCCTGATGGTGCTTGGGGACCATATGGGATGCCAAGGATCAATGGGTCAGCTTTGTGCAAGGCAAGCATCCTACCTGCTGTACTATCCAGGCCCTAAATCTTATCCTTTGAGATAAATGAGCAGCTAATATTGTACAGAGGTCCATTACAATTTTCCATAGGAAGGTAAAACCAGGATAATAGATATTCTTTATATTATTCATCAGAACAGTTCAGTACTTCTACAATTACTACTACAATTAAAAACTACATCAAATTTGTATTTGTAGACAAATGCCTTAGAGTGGTATTGTGTTAATAAGAGGCTTTCAAGGTGTGAAGGAATATTTATAATTAAAGCATATTAGGGACAAATGCAAAAGTAAAACTGAGTCAAAAGTACCAACATAAACTTAGGGTCTGAAAAAGTCGACAAAACGTTTATAGTCCTGACCAGAAAAAGGGGCTAATAAAGAGACTCCCAACTCCCACAGGAGAAGGACTCTATTAAGCCTTAAAAAGTAAGACTCCTTTGAGGGAAATGATTCTAGGATGGAGTCACTGAAGTAAAACTTGAGCTTAGGATGTATCAGCTTGGGCCAGAATGCAAGGAAATATTCAGAGTAATCAGGTTTCATCAAAGTATCACTGAGGATCTAGCTTGATATAGATCTCACTGGCCAAAGGTGGGACACCTTAAACGTCAAAAGTATAATTGCCTTATTCAGTAAAATAGCTAGACCTCATGGAATGTCAAACACAAAAAGAGTACACACTGTATATTCCTTTTGTTATGAGTTCACGAAGAAATAGGTGGAATAGTCAGAATAATGGATATGTAGTAGGGGGGAGGGAAACGGCCCCTTTGGCTGGAAAGGGGCAGTTTCGGGTGCTGGAAATAGAGATGTAAAAATTCATCAAGCTATAAACTTACGATTATGCACTTTTACATACTGTAAGTCATCACTTAACTTCATCCACTGGTTCTTGAAAACTGCAACTTTAAGCAAAACAACGGATAATGAAACCAGAGTCACAAATAACATCCTTCTTTTTAAAATTGTGGGCTAGGATTCTTTTCTCTCATCAATGTTACAATGAAATGACATTGAATAATAGTATAAAGACCTAATACATACAGAAATATAAAGTTCCATTCATCAGTACTTTTTAATACAACACAGACACACACAAACAAATACTGACTGAAATATACCTAAAAGCAACAGAATTATATTATCCGTACTAATACTCAACAAAGAGAAAACTCAGGTGTTACCACTTAGGGTGGCCTTTAACCTATCTTCTAACCCGGAAACTTGGTAATGAAAGGGAAGGAAGACATGCTTATTCTGCTTTGGCAAATGTAACTGTACTTTGGAAAGGCACATAAAAGTCATTAGTTGATGAGGAAGAACTTCGTAGGATGATGGCAACTAATAATGTCAAAGGAGATATATCATTGCATAACAGTTTACTACACATACATTTCTAGTATTAGCATTAGTAAATGGTAGTAGTATATTACAACACAACAACTCACAAATTACTTCCTAACTGAAAATGGAAAAATTATACCATAGAGAGAGCTATCATCTTAATTGAGGCCAATATTAATAACATGAATGCATGATTAACCAGATTTCATGGGCCTCAGAGTATAGTTCTATAATAGCACTTATTAATAATTAATAAGTAAGTGAATGCTCTATTGGGGCATTCAGATGAACCTCTATTCAGAGGAAATCACAGAAAGGGAAAGCAGCATAGTGACATTTCAAAACATAAACCAAACAAATCAAAGTGGTTTTTCTAAAAATATTGTGGTTTCAGGGCCACATCTGGCAGTGCCCGGGGACTACTCCTGGCTCTGTTTGGTAGTCAAAGATCAAACCTGAGCCTTCCGCAGGAAAAGCATGTGCTCAGTCTTTGCGCTCTTCCCTGGAAGAGGCAGCACTTTCACAGGATAACTGGTACATTCTTATCAACAACAATAACAACAACCACCACAACAACATGTTCTAGATTTAAAACAATTTGCAGTAAACTCAGATGTGTTACTTAGTCCTTGCTAGTCAAGGAAATTTTTTTGAGATGAAAATGTACTGATATGGAAAGGTGGAGACCATTAAATGAAGCCAAACTTGGTTGCAAAATGGCGTGAATGGTATGATCTCATGAGACATTTCACTCTTGTGTACACTCTATATGTACACAAAGAGTAAGCTGTCTGGGAGAACATACACATATATGTTGCAGTGGCCATCTTTGGGGTTGTGAGAATACAGTGGTTTCTCTTTTCATGCTTTATTACGTGTGCCGATTTGGTTCAGTGCTATTAGTAACGGGCTGCTTTAGATGAACAGAACCCTAGCAGAATTGCAACTTCTGGGCGGGGGTAGAAGAAGGCTCAAACTGAAGACTGAGTTCTTTCCATTAAGACTATAAAATAATGACAGGTATTATTTCATGACTGATCATTTTCTTTTCTTCATTAGAAAAAGATGTGTGTGCATATATATATACACAATTATATATATACATATATATGTGTATATATATATAAATATAAAATTGACCTTTCTGTAAAGATGGGTAAAAACTGGTTCTTTGGAGAGGAGCAGTTGGGGGGTAGGAGAACTGTCTGTGTTGTACAACTATCACTATTCTCTGTCTCAAAACTTTTTCATCTTCCCCACCTGAAATTCTGTCCCCTTTACACAATTTTTATCTTCCTGCCCCTCTCAGTCTTTGGCAACCGCCCATTCTACTTTTATGCCTCTATGAATCTGGCATCTCTAGAATAGGTGAAACCATACAATATTTGACCTTGGGCATCTGGTCTATTTCACTCAGCTTAATGATGGAAAGAATGCTGTACATGCCAGAACTTGATAAATGTTCTGTTGTGTGGATAAACCACATTTTGTTTACCTTGGCTGATCATTTGAACTATATTATGTTCATAATTTTAGCTCCTGGAATTTCTCTACACTGCCTTACATTAATTTTTATGACCAACTGCAAGTTTGATTTATCAATAAACATCATGACTGGAAACACCCTACTCACGATTAGCAAAAACCTCCACGGTATAAGGACTCCTACACTTGAAAGGCTACTCAGCTATACAATCCCACCTAGTCCTTCTGGTCGGGGGTTAAACAGGCTGTTCTAGTTTTTCTTTAGGGGTCACTTTGCTTTTCCAGGAATAAAATCACAAAAGACCTGGCTGAAAATTCTCAATCATCTGAATGGCATGTTTGAGGAAAAAGCAGGTACTTTGTAATAGAAAGCAAACTGATAAATTACTGTTTCGCCTTGTATTTGGAGGCATCCCTGGGTTCACTGCTGGGATTGCTCCAATCATCGGCCTCTGGCGTGGTCTTGTAATGACGCCAGGCAGACTTGTTGAAAACCGGAAGTCGTTCGAATGATTCACTTGAAAGAGCCTAATGGAAAAACAAAAATAGACACTAAATGTCCAAAGTGTCATTTTCCCATGTGAAATACTAACCCAAATTCTGCTATTTAAAATGTCAGCAACTTTATAAGATCTATTTTTTGAAGTGTGTTAAAATGACACTTTAGCATTTTATTTAAACTAGGATAAAATTACAGTTTTTCAAGGAACATATTCACTCATTCAAAATCATGAGTAAAGCTGGGAAAAGTTCAGAGGGTTGAGGCGCAAACTTAGTATGCAGGAGCCCCGTGTGTGATGGTATGATCCCTCAAGCAATATTGGAACTAAACCCTGAACACAGATGCAGAAATAGCCTCTGAATATCACTGAGCATGTGCTCCCATAAAAAAATCAGTACTGACTATGTAGCTGTTAGAAAAGATGAAGTCATACAAGTGGTACTACATGGAAAGTATAATGCTAAGCGAAATGAGTCAGAAAGAGAGGGATAGACATAAAAAGATTGCATTCATCTGGGGGATATAACATAACAAAATAGGAGATTAATACCCAAGAATAGCCGAGATCAGTACCAGGAGGATTACTCCATAGCTTAGAGGCTAGCCGGGCATTCTAGGGGAAAGGGCAGCTCAGATAGAGAAGGGAGCACCAAATAAAGGGTGTTTGGAGGATGGGAGATGCATGTTGAAAGTAGACTATGGACCGAACATGACTGCCACTCAATGCCTCTTTTGCAGACCACAACACCCAAAAGGAGAGAGAGAACAAAAGGGAATGCCCTGCCACAGAGGCAGGGTGGGATGGGGGGGACGGGGGTTGGAGGGATACTGGGATCCATGGTGGTGGGAAATGGGCACTGGTGGAAGGATGGGTATTTGATCATTGTATAATTGAAACCCAAGCACAAAAATTTGTAAGTCTACAACTCCACCTCATGGTGTTTCACTAATAAAATTTTTTTAAAAAATCAGTACTGAAATACACATGACCAGAAAAAAAGTACCACTTGGAGATATCCAACTATTTTGGTTGCATGGCCTTAAAGCATACACTAATGCTCAGTAGGCAACTGCTGTCCGCATGGGTCCAGAAAGAAGCAAAGCTTTGTAGATACTACACTTAAGGCCTAAGGTCATAAAGTGATATTAAATATCACATCAGATGTATACATATCACACTTTGGATTCATCGGCATCTAAGATAAACATGCCAAATAACTGACTACATTATGCTATAACATACATATCATAACAACCACTAAATAGAATGAACCCATTCTATATTCCATCTGAACTGTTATACAAAGATATCCAAGACATATTATAAACAATTTTTTTCAGTATGTGAAATAATAATGTATGTGGAAAAAAACTGGATCCACCATCACTCTATCTATATGTATGAATGCAGAGTGAGCTTCAGAAAGATCTATATGGGGCTGGTTATCTATAGTTTCCTTGGAGGAAGAGAAGCAAGTGGATTAGGGTCAGGGGTAAGAGACAGACCTCACTTTTCCCCTTTTAATGTAGCTATTTGTTTTTTACCACACCCATAAGTGCTCTAGACTTACTCCTGGCTCTGTGCTCAGGGATCACTCCTGGCTGGGCGTGGGGTACAATATGAAGTGCCAGGGATCAAACCCAGGTCAGTTACATACAAGGCAAGTACCCTAGCCAGTGTACTATCTCTTCGGCCCCTGTCATAGATTTAAAATTTTGTACTATGTGCCTACACAACATTCAAAAAATACTTCAAATGTTCTACAGTTTAGAATGAAAAGTCTAACATAACCACCATTAATGAGTGAAAATATCTCTTACAGAGAACTCTGTTATTATAATAAACATAGTATGATAGTAAATTCTTAGGACTTTGAGAAAAACCAATATTTTTTAAAAGAAAAGACTGAAGGAGCTTCCATTAATGAAAAACTGTTTCCTTCTAGATGGGCCCTTTCAATGGATATGAATTTCTTCAAAATCAGTATTTTAATTTTCACATCCTCATGTTTCATATTTTGTTTTATCTGAGGAGCCAAAATCAGAGGTGGTTCTGATTTTGGCTCCTCAGTTTAACAGTTTTCATGCAAAACAGAAGTGAGGTGCTGGAGTGACAGTACAGTAGGTAGGGTGTTTGCCCTGCCTGCAGACGACCCAGGTTCAAGCCCCAGCATCTCATATGGCCTCCCAAGCACCACCAAGTGTAATTTCTGAGTGCAATGCCAGGAGTAACCCATGAGCACCAATGGGTGTGGCCAGAAAACCAAAGCCAACAAACAAAACTGAAGTGAATCTGAGCTCTAGTGCTAGTCTAGCTATTAGCACTTACTGCTTTAACATGTACACATGAATTCAAATAATAGAAATAAACGACATACCTTTAAATATATGACAGCATCAGTTCCTACTCCTTCCATTGAATAGAGTTTTAAATCTCCCTGAAAGTATCTAGCATACAGTCGAGAAATTGGTAGACCATAACCAAATCCAGCCTATAAAGAAAAGAAAAGTAACACAGTGAGATGGAGACAAAGGCTAAGACATTGGTATGAGGAACACTTGAAAAGGCTCAAAGAAACTTCTGGACTCAGATGTGCATCAAATAAACTAGTGACTCAACCTTTACAACTATGTATATGTTCATCTAGGGCAGATTATTTTCACTCTCCAAAAAGGTTTCTTCTATTTTTGGAAAATGAAATGCTCCCAACTTGGAACTAATGCTCTACTTTTGCATTTCAGTGAAAACTTTTAGCATCTGATGGGGGCCACACCTCCAGTGTATCTGGGGGACCAACCATATGTGGTGTTGGCAATTGAACTGGGTTTGCCCACATGCAAGTCAAGTGCCTTATCCTCTATCCTAGCTCTCTGTTCTCCTTCAGCATTTTAAAAGCAAATCCAAAATCAAAGACACACCATTCCAAAGTTCCATTATCAGATTTCCTTGCTCTCTGAAGTGAAAATTAAATAGAGTAGCACAGGAGTTCAAATCTATCAGGAGCAAAGTTAATACACTGGAGAGAAAACAATTTCCTTACCATTTACTTCCTAAGGTGCAGAGAATGCTCCCATGTTTTGCTATACTGTAGTTCACATATTCTGAAGGCAATTCCAGGGTTGGAGAGAGCGTTACAGAGATTAATGCACTTGCCTTGTTGCATGCAGCCAACCCCAAATCGAATCCCAGCACTGCATATGGCACCCCAAGCACCTTTACAAGCGATCCCTGAACAAGTCCCGAGCACAGCTGAAAGTGTCCCCAACTCCCTGCCCCAAGGGAAAAAAAAGAAAGAGGAAGAAAATTCCAGTATCCTTCTATATCTTTAGGTACTAGAAGCCTGGCAGTCAGTAACAGGTTTGGGGAAAATGAAGTCTCAGATATTGACAAGAAGAATAAGAATAACGGACAGTTTCACAGATTATTTGCTGTAAGGACAATACTGCACTGCAGGCTTCAGCCGCTCTGCTGAGACCCACTGAATAGGCTGAAGAAGTTGGTAAAGGCACTCATGGACTGGAGGTCACATGGGTTTCAGGTTCGGCTCAGAGAGACCCAAGATAAAACCCAGGATCTGTGCCAATCTAAGTGGTTTACTCAACCTCAGGAGATTGTTTTCACACCTGAAAATGTAAGAAAACCTTATCTCAGGGTTTCCGGATTTAAGGATTAAATGATATTAAGAAGTGCAAAGTCTTGGCAAGGGTGTTAAGATACAGCACAAGTAAATAAATAGACGCTTCTGTTACGATTTCTACAGAGTAGAATTTTTACCAAGCTCCATGGATCATGGCCCTTTCCTAACATCACTCCCTGCTATGCTGCCTTGGTGGAGGGCACAACTCCAAGTGCTGGATACAACAGAGCGCCCCCTGCTGTTAATGGGCAGTAAGGCCGGCAGTGGAGACCAGAGAGCCACAACTGCGACAGGTCAACACAACCAAACTACCAGCTTCCTCCAGGAAGCAGCTCAGGAAATGGGACTCCTCCATTCCCGCAAGGACCTGAACCTGACCTTCGGTCTACCAAGGAACTGCCAGCAATGCCTGAGCCCAACGCAACCTGCCCCGAAGAGACAGGCAAGCCCGGGTCGCATGGGATGAGCAGAGGACGCACTCAGATTTGCAAAGGTTCAGGGGAAACCTTCCTTGGGGTGTGCAACCAAGGACAGGGTGGGCTAAACAAACCTTTCTGGAAAAAAGAAATCATGTGTCAGGGCACAGAGCTGTGACACAGTGAGGTGCTGGAGTGGGAAGAACTTTAGCTAGTGGGCACATTCCTTCAAGAGGAGAGCCCAGGTGGTGCCGGGGAGAGACGGCACACCCAGCTGCACTGTGAAGTAGCTCTAAAGTAGGACAGATACTGAATGTTAAGGTCTGATGTCAACTGCTTCGCTTCCCCAAACAAAACCATCAACGTAACTGCTCCCCTCAAGATGCTGGCTTGGAGACTTGGAAGGGACCATCCACAACCTTTGCAAACAAGTAGGGAAGGTTCTAGATGTGTATTTGGTTTTCCCCCCCCGCTTCCTTCTGACGTTGAAGTAGGTACCCAAGCCTGGTAAAGGCAAAGGCTTTGAAAACTGATATTTCAAGAATTTTCCTTAAATCCTCTGTAAATGACTTCCTCACTCGGTTCAACATGCTGAGTTAACAAACTCTGTCTTGAATAAACGACGCAAAGGGTAGGATTTTATTCATACCAATAAAATATAATCCTACGTGCTTATCAGTCAGGTAGGATTTTAAAATGAAGCTTAATGTATGCCCTGCACCATTCTGCAGACTGATAGATATGTTGCTGTGTTTAATGACAAAGGGTTCAATTGTTGTTTGTCAATTAGAAACACTCAGCAGGGGAAGAAAGTGTGGCCCTACCAGGATCTAAATGCTGCCATGGTAACCAGAGGTTTTGCTCACTGCCTCAATAGGGCCGAAGGTTATTTCCAGAGTGAGACTTGAAAACGGAAATGCATGCACACCTTTATGTTTCCTGCTTGTGTCGTTTTAAAACCCCAAGCGGAATGTGTTCAAAATTTAGCATTTTAATTATATAAACACACGTGATGGGGAAGTCCAAAGGCCTGGGGGGGGGGGGAGGGAATTTGGACTGTATGGCAACAGTGCCAAGGGGCCTGGGAGGCTGGCACCACCACAGCTGTAGTGTTGTACCTGTGCTCCCCGTTATTAAACTTCCAGTCCCTCCAAGGGGAGCGGTGGTTTTAGCCACAGGGAAATGCTTTTCCTCTGGCCAAGGGAGTGAGGCGCTCAGCTCTGAGCATTTCTTAGCTGCAGAACCGAGTAGGATCTAAACCCCGAGGGGTCATCCCAGCAGCGTCCAATTTCTCCTCCTCTAAGAATGCAGAGAACACACCGATTTCAGCAAGGCTGTTGCCATGACCTGGTGGGGGAAGGGCCAGCCCTGCCCCTGCCCTTGGACCATCTGTCCTGATGTAGCAGTTAAAGCTGCTTACCAGAGGGGCAGCTCTCGTGGGTTCCAGACTGGGTCTCGGGGCAGTGGAATACATGTAGTTAAAGAGGCGATCGATTTTTCGGAGTGGGACCCCACCGCCTAGGTCACAGATCTGAAATGCACAAAACAATTTGTTTCAAAGCAGCAGCAGCAGAAGTCACTCGAGAGGCGGCAGGCAAAGTCAGGCATTAAAGAAAGAACAGAGCAGATTACTCTAAAATACAGGGGGCTTTGGGCCCCCCGCCGATGAAACATGGCTCATTGGTGAACAGTGTCAAACAAAGGATGCACAGCTGTGCAGTGGAACCAGGCTGGCTTGGCTATGAGATCTTTGTGCAGCTGCCTAGAAAAATGGGGTTCGGGTTGAAATGCAGTAACTTAAGTCAAGGATCTAGTTCCGTTCGTACAAATGAAACGCTCAATGTCGGTCTTCTCCTCCCTGTGATTCCGCCATGCCTAGACACTCTGAAATTCCCTAGTAATTGCAGGGTACATGCAAAGAAGGGAGTTACCTTGATGGACAAGTCCTCTTTTCCCAGAGTAACAAGGGTTTTCACGGCCGGGTAACCCTCTTTTCTATCTTCGTGCAGTTCCACGGTCGCTCTCATGGAGTTCTGAAATAACAAGCTATTTCTCAGCACACTGTCGGCTCACAACCCACAATTTTTATTTTTTTTAAAAAGAAACTATCACAAGTTTACTTATACACAGAGATTCTTTTGTGGGGCAAATATCAATTGGACTTATATGGCATTCCTCACCCTTGAAAGAACTTAGTTAAAAGTAGACTTAGATCAAGGACAATTTTCCAGTTTTACTTTGCTTTTCACCTAGTTTTAGCTCCACCCACCACCCCACTAAATATTTTTCCTTCTTCTGTCTTTCTTTTCTTCCTCTTTTTTTTTTTGCTTTAGGATATTTAAATGATTCCACTTGTAACCAAAAGATTGCACGTAATGAGGCTGCAGCAGCTCACGGAATGCGCTTTAATTCCTATTTATCAGTCTGCATTTACTGAGTGCCTTTCCTTTAAAACAGGCAGAAAGCCTGAGAGGATTCATGCTTCCCACAAAAAATTAATCATTTGAGTGAAAAAAAAAAACCCAAATGTGAGTTAAAAAGAAATTCTGAAAAAGCCACAGCTGCTCAAAGTTCACAATTGAATGCCCATCTTAACCTTAAAGTGTTACATCCGTAACATTATAATTTGGGGAAGCAAAGCAGCATAACTGATTTTTCAGGTGTTCAATTTAGGGTTTGACACGCTGGGAGAAAGGAAATTGTAGCTCTAATGTCTTGTGCCTGTATCACTGCAACTGTAAATGCCGTTTGCCATTAACCACTGCTTAGCAAAAACAACAGCTTAGGCTGTTGAAAGTCTAGTCTTTATTTTGGGGGTGGGGCGGGGCGGATGGGTCTTTCTGGTCCAACCCTTCTTATATCTTTCCCCTCTGCCATGCAAGATCTTCTAAATTGACTCAAATACGTAAGCGGGCTGCACCAACTCTCAGGACCAGAAGAAACGCTAATGCATCAACATGGGTAATGCTCAGAAGCATAAATATGCATAAACATGTTTCCATTTTGATCTGGCTACCACCAATAAAGCCTTTGCCAGGCTTGGAAAGTGAAAAGCATCTCTAATCGCCTAACCAAAGAAAAAACAGTATGGATTCGACATAAAATCACTAAAGTACAATTAAGCTTCAAAATCAATATGTACTAATATTCACGAAAACTATACTGTACACAGCAATTTTTCATCTCACAGTGTACAAATTATAAAACCCACAGGATATCAGAAATAGAACTTTTAAAATCGTTATGCAAAACCTTTTTCTTATGCTAATCTAATGAATCCATTATGCCCTGAATCAAAGTAATTTAAAATGAAGACTTCTTTCCATGTTTTTAAATTCCACTTACCTTGAACAACTCAAACAGCATGTGAAACAGATGTGAGGGCACGTATACTACCTGAATAGGCTTGTCTGGAGCTTTGGCTGAAAACAGAGACAAAGCCATCAATGACTAAGGACACAGATTCAAAGAAGAGTCCAGAATCTGTTTGCATTCTATTTTCTGAGTACATAAAGGACTCACAAATGCTGATGGAGCTTCCATCTCTATAGGCTTGGCTGAGCACAAGCCTAGGCTTTGAAGCCCAACAAACCTGCATGGTGTGCAGACTTCCTTCTCTGATCATCTTAACCTTACATGACTCTAGACAAATCGTACTCAATCTCTTTCTGAAACGCTGCTAAGCAAAATTACGAAATCATCAACCATGCCTTAAGCTCTGAGCATTATATAAGGTCATGTATGTATTGCCAGGTGTTCATCAAAATGGGAGACACCAGCTTATCACCACAGGTCCAAGTGGTTGCTCAGGAAAATGTGAGATACAGGGGGAAAGGAGAGACATCTTCTTGGTGAAAAGAATTAAACAGCAATGTTCTAGTCTGTTCAATTACAACAAAGACACAATAGTCAGGAGAATGTAAAGGTCAGAGAGCTTTCTTCCACCAATAGCTACCATCACCACCCACAGAGGCCTCCAGACCCTTCCTCTTACACCAGGAAATCTTTCAAGAAATACCTAAGTGAGTCCATGCCAAGTACTAAGAACAGCATGGACTACTGAAGAGATGTTGGAAATTTTAGTCCTTTTCCTCTTAACTATAATCACTTAATCACAATCACAAACTGACTGAACTACAGCACCAGAGCAATAGTACAACAGGTAGGTCACTTGCCTTTTACATGACTGACCTGAGTTCGATCCCCAACATCCCCTACGGTACCCCAAGCACTACTAGCTCTGACTCCTGAGTGCAGAGTCAGGAGTCAGCCCTGAGCATTGCTGGGTATGGTCCCCCAAAACAAACCTAAAACGAGACGGAACTTTCTTAAGCACAATTATCTATGTTATAATTTCAACCTAACAACTTCCTCTAATGAAGTACATAATTAACAGTACTACAAAATAGAGTGAACAAATGTTTGGATCTAAGCAGTTTACGAAGCGCTTGCACACAGAGTATGCAACTGTGTCCTGGTGAAAATGCTGTGTGGCTCATGGGGTGGGCGGCATTGTTAAAGGTAAGGACACAGGCTCCGCAGAGGCTATGTGCCTTGCCCACCATAACCAGAAGAGGCACTGAACTCAGACTCCCAAATTAAGAGCCCTTGATTCTATATCCTGAAGCTGCTGATGAAGTTGTTAGAATGATAATTAACATTTATGAATGATTAACCTGTTTGTGAAAAATCCCTCCACTCTGTCCTATCCTACACCCGGAGTCCCCAACCAGAGGCAGTCGCTTATTAGTCATCTGCTTTCACCTTTCGCTTGATAAAATTCAGCCTTCAATAACCCAAGTGAATGCTTCTGCACTGTGCTTATAGGTTCATGGGCCCCCTTCCCCTCCCTGCATTGCTCCTGTAGCAGTGTGAGGGTGGAGACAGGTTGCAGGGGACATACAGGCCTGGGTGAGCAATTCGCTTCTTTAACTGTGATGTTCACAGGGGCTGCACTCCGTTAGTTGTGGTGCTTGCCAGGGACCAGAGGTTGCCCTCCTGGCCACAGTATTCGCACATCTTTTGAGCTGGGATGCTCACTGGGATGAAACCCTGATGCTGTGGTGCTTGCAAACACTTGGTACCAGGGATCACAAACAGCTGAGCTGGTATGCAGTGGCACATGCACCAAGAACAAAAAGCAGGCGAGAGGGGGCCGAGAGAGTACAACAGGTAGGGTGCTGGCCTTGCGTGAGGTCAACCCAGGTTCGATCCCCAGCACCCCATGTGATCCCTGAGAACCACCGGGAGTAATTCCTGAGTGCAGAGCCAGGAGTATCACTAGATGTGGTCCCAAAATCAAAATGAATTAAAAAGAAGCAGGCGAGTGGTCAAGTTTCTGGAGGTCACATGCAAGTCATGTGCAAGGATGGGGCAACAAAGGCAAAACAATAGCTGTCAGAGACACATCACATTGACAAAAAAATCCAATCATGTTGACACACACAGAAACGGCCTTTGACCTGATCCAGCATCTTTTTATGCTAATAGCCCTCAGAAATTGTGGATAAAAGGAACATACCTCAAAATAATGAAGGCCACATGTGACAAACCCACAGCCAAGATCATATACTCCCAATGAAAACACTGCAAGTGTTAAGTGTTTCCTGTAATATCTGGTACAAGACGTGGACGCCCACTCTCACCTTGCAAGGTGTTGGATATACTCAATAGCTATATGCAAAAGAAGGAAACTAAACCAATATCTAAAATCATACACAAAAACGGGATCATGGGGCTAGAGAGATATTACAGCGGGTAGGGCTCTTGCCTTACACACAGCAAACCTGGATTCAATCTCTGGCACCCCATATGGTCCCTGAGCACTGCAAGGAGTGATTCCTGAATACAGAGTAAGAAGTAGTCCCTGAGCATTGCCAGGTGTGGCCACAAAACAAAAAAAAAGAACTCAAAATGGATTAAAACCTTAAAGGTAAGGTCCAAAGCCATAAATTACATAGAAGAAAATGGGCTATTTGCTCTTGGACGTCAGCCTTAGTATGTGTTTTGGAACTCAATTCCAATGGTAAGACAGAAGCAAAAGTAAACAAATGGGACTACATCAAGCTAAAAAGTTTCTATATCATGAAAGAAACCTGCACCAAAATAAAGGACATCCTGCTAAATGGGATATTTGTAGACCATACATCCAATACGGGGTTAATATCCAAAAATACACAAAGAATTCCTAAAACGCAATGATTAAAAATAAAAACAACCCAACTGAAAAAAATGGGCAAAAGATCTTAATAGTCATCTCTCCAAAGATAATATACCAATGGACAACAGGTGATGAAAAGATGTTCTTCATTATACATAAATACAAGTTAGAATAACAATGAGTGATCACCTCACACCCATGAGAATGCCAATTGCCTATAAGACAAGAAACAGTAAGTGTCAGTAGAGGAGTTGGAGAGAAGAGAACCCTTGGACACTACTGGTGGGAAAGTAAGACTGGTGCAGTTATAAGGAAAGCACAGAAAATCCATAGGATTCAGTTATCTTAATTCTGGATATTTACCTGATAAATACAAAGCTACTCAGGAATTGGAGTGATAGCTCAACATGATTTGCATGCAGGAGGTCTGGGTTCAATCCCCAGAACTACATGGTACTCTAAGTGCAGAACCCGGAGTTAACATCTGAGCTCCACCAGATGTGCTCCAATAAACAAAACCAAACCAAAACCCCACTTGTTCAAAGCGGTATCTCTGCTCATTGCTTTTTGTTTTGGCTTTTGAGCCCTACCTGGCAATACTCTGGGATCACTCCTGGCAGGCTCAGGGGACCATATTGGAAGCTGGGAATCAAACCCGGGTCAGCAAATGCCCTACCTGCTGCACTATCTCTTTGAACCTTTCACATATTTTTTATAGAATTACTTACAATAGCCAAGCACTGAAAACAACCTAAATTCCCACTGACATATCGCTGGATAAAAGATGTGGTATGTAGACACAATGCAATACTACTGTAATATTTGAAAATACAACTTGGCTATCTAAATATACGTACATATATATATATATCACTGGAGGTGTGGCTGAGGTATATGACTCAGTGTGAGGCTGTGAGTTCCATCTCCGGCAACATCCCACATCAAGTGTGATCCCAGGCACCAACACAAGTGTGTGACCCTGGTGTTCTACAACCCAGTGTGTGTGAGCACCACAACCCAGTCTGTGACCCTAAACATCACAACAGTGAAGGGGAAGGAAAAGATAAAAATAAAGTGTAGTTCTTAACTGCATTCACAAAGAGCTTTCAACATTCAAGAAATCACGACAAGGAGAGAGAGAACAAAAAGGAATGTTCTGCCACAGACGCAGGGTGGGATGGGGGGATGGGGGGGTGGGAGGGATACTGGGATCAGTGATGGTGGAAAATGAACACTGGTGGAGGGATGGGTACTTGAACACTGTATAATTGAAACCCAAGCACAAAAATTTGTAAGTCTACAACTGTACCTCATGGTGTTTCACTAACAAAATTTTAAAAAAATCACAACAATAAACCATGACTACACTAAAGAAACAGAAAACTAGAGGCAACTGATAATATTCCTTAGCACTCATTTGCCTTAAATAATAAGAAAGGGGCTTCAAATATGGCACATGCAACAATGCCAAAAATAGCTCTTCTTGGGGCAGGGGGGGGGGGGCGCTGCCCAGCGTGACAGCCTCTCTGGGAAGGAAAGAGCTGACAGCTGGCACCTGGGCATCAGCAAAAGCAGGCTGGCTGCTCTGGCCCTCAGAGTGAGCGAGGCTGCCATTCAGGCAAAAGAGCCATGGGTTACTTACTACCTGCAAATTTCAGTTCCCTGCTGGGCCAACACAAATGTGGACGATGAGGTCAAGGTCCACCTAACCAGCAGTAAGAAGCATAAAATCCAGATGCTTCTACTATTCAGGTAAAGTGAAGCCAAGCCCAGGAGTTCCAGCAGTAGATTCATTCAAAACAGCAACACAACTCTTCCTTGGAGAATCCATCAGACAAAGCATTTTGATGTTAGACCTTTTAGGAGAATGCAGGGGCCATTATCCTACCATGGTAGTCTTCTCACATTTTTATCTTATTATATGAGAGATTCAAGTTAGGTACTTTTAAGAGGAAGTTGATTTGTCCTAAATTTAAAGGCCCCTTCCCTAAGACTCCATTATTCTGCTCTTGGAAGCTAACCTATGGAAATACTTCCCCATACTTGCAAATTTTCTCATGCTCTAAACACACATACACGCTACAGGAATAATCACATTTTCACAAATATTCCTACCCTACACACACACACACACACACACACACACACACACTCTTTGATTGCTGATTATATGGAATATGGTAAAATTAGAAATCCTAAATATCCACCCAAGAGGAAATGATTAAATTATGTAATCTAAGCTATGCATAATGACTAAACAATATTAACATGTGCAAATATCTTTAACGTAAAGGGAAAAACACTAGTTATGGAACATACATAGTTTCAATCCCATGTATGTTAAAACAAAGTTCTGTATAGGGGCTGAGAAAAGTAGGAACTTCAACTTTAGAAAAAGTAACATTTCCATATTTGTACTTTTATAAGGAGCATGCCTCTCTCAAAACTTAACAATACATTTCAGCTGTTAATTTTAAAATAAATATAGAATCGTATAATGCAAAAAATCAGTTATAATCCCAAGAAAGTTGCTTTATATATAGGTCCTATAAATCTTTTTTTAGGTCCTATAAATCTTTAAAAAAATGTTCCACCGAACTTGCATTATTACAAATTCTTATAGCATGTGCTTAAAAAAAGTCCTCAGATTTTGTCAGGCATGAAATGTTATTTTGAATTGTTTCATAATACTCTATTTCATAGGCATACCATAATCTATTTCAATAAACCTCTATTATGTAAGACATGGTTTGTTCTCTTATTTATCTCCTGGAGAGCCACAGTGATCGTCAATCGTCAATCTTGTACATTCATCTGTGCATATTTCTGCAGTTGAATTTACTGAACCGCAAACTATGACCATTATAAATTTAACTTATTGGATCAAAGATTAAGAATGCTATTAGCGTGTTTTACACAGGTTATGCCAATATAAACTTATGACAAAAATGTACAAGTGTTGGTAAAGGTATTTTCTGGGCACCAATTTTAAGTATTAACAAGGTTCTAAATCATTTCCATTTTGAAAGTAAAAATTGGCATTTCTGTTTTAATTTGCATTTCTTTGATTAGTAGAGTTATGCCCTTTTCTGTGTTTATTGAGAGTATTCAAGAACAAAATTTGTCTTTGAGGGTTTCTTTTTATCTTGGTTATATCTATTCCAAGAACATTAAGATTTAACAGGTTATACAGCCAAGAGAAAACTTCCTACAGCCTGTAGGAAGAAAGATACAGAGAAGGTTTCAAAAAGATATAAAACATGAAAAAAAAGCACAATTTTAGATTCTCCACTGAAATACAGTTCAGATATAACCAGTGTAAGAGTCAGTTGCTTTGTATTTCAGGGTGATCTCATTTTGCTTTTACCATTGAATTCTTGGACCTCCAGTTCAGGCGCTACCAGGTAATACTGTTCACATAGCAATTTGGCCGTTTCATATGCATCTGCAAAGGAAGAAAAACGTTTAGCTATTGTACTCGACAAGGCACAAGCAAACAAGAGAGCTCACAGAATAAGTGAACAGAGACAATTTCTAATCCAAGATACTTAGAATTAACCCACTACCCCCTTTACAAGAATAGCATTTTGGGGGGGAATGTGTCTGCGCACAGCATCACACTACAAAAAATAACCTTAACAGGATTACTATGACTGTACCAAACTTTCTTTCGTTTTAACCATCACAATGATTTCAAAATATTGCACTTATGATGACATGGCCAGCTCTAAGCATGCATTCCTCTGTCAAATATTCCTAAAAGTCATTTTAATTGCGAGTCTATAAACACTGAAAAACTGTATTTGTGAACATCATAGAATCTGACCACATTGCAACAAAAAGACATTTTAATACAAAGATAATGTCACGAAGCTTAATATGTGCTAATGATATCAAAAACGATTTGCTGAATGGATGGGATTCCAGGAGCCACACAACTTAAGTTACTGGAGATACCACTAGTGCTTGAAAATGTCCTTTAAGTAAATGAAAGGTAACAGGTTGGCACTCAGAGAGATCGGGGTCTGAGGAACAGAAGTTGGCTTTTCAAATAAAGAAAAATGATGCTACAGGGTAAGAATAGGGGGGCTACTATAGAAAATTTAAAATTAAAATTAAAGTTAAATTGTCATGTTACCATGCTGGATGGGAGGACTCAGGAAGTTACATCCCAAAAGAGAGCCAACAAGTTCAGAAAACAAAATACTCATGTGTGTTATTTCTCTTGAACTATAAAAATTTTGAATCCAGATTTCTGTCTCACACTTGCATTATAACTTGCAAAGATCCTTACATGTGCCTGTATAGGTGGTAATTAAATATTCCTTGGTTTAATAAAGTTTAAAATTTGGACAATTTACATTTTAGTGGTGTTTTGTTTGGGGGCCACTGCCGGCTGTGCTCAGGGTGGGTTTCAGGGAACTGTAAGGGAAACTGAGGATCAAACAAGGGTTGGCTACAAGCAAGGCAAGTACCTACCTGCTGTACCATCTTCCCAGCCCTGGATAAGTTACTTTTTAAAAGTCAGACTTGGTTAAAGAGAGAGCACAAAGGACTATGGCACAATTCCTGGCTTCACAGGCCCCTGAGCACCACCAGGAGTGATCCCTGAACACAGAGCCAGAAGCCACCCTTGAAGATTGTCAAGTGTGGCCCAATACAAAAAAAAAAGTAATTAAAATCTAGACTTCCTAAGATCTAAATCTCGTCCCATACAACCCCCCCCCTACTCACCAGAAGATTTCCACCCCCCCCCATATAAATGCATAATGTATATACAATTCTCTGGCTTTCAGTATATCTGCAGACCTACACACCCATTACCACAAGCAATGCTGCATCATTATCACCCAGAAAAGAAATCGCACAACCACCGCTGGCTCACCCAGCCCTAAGTGACCACACAAATCTACTTTGTATAGATTTGCTCTTCTGGACATTTACTATAAATGGAATCACACAATACACGATCTCTTATTTCTGGCTTCTTTCACTTAGCGTTGTGTTTTTAGCAGTCACCCGTGTGGCAGCAAATAGCATCAACGCTTCATTCCTTTTATTACTGAGTGATATTTGATGGCACCAATACACCACGTTGTTTCCCAATTCATCAGAAAAACACTTTGATTGTTTCCACTTTGGGGCTATTATAACAAATGCTATGAACATTTGAGGGGGGTTTCCTTTGGAGGGGGCACTCCCAAGCAGTGCTCAAGGGCCCCTCTGGGCAATACTCGCTTGGCTGGGGCAGGCTGGATGGTTCAATGCTCAGGTCCGGCAGTGCTAGGGGCCACCAGGGCCCTATCAGAGGGAGATCAAGCAGTACTGGTGTTCAAACGTATGGCTTCTTCGTGCTAGACATATGTTCCAGCCTCTCATGCTAATTCCCTGAGCCCTACATTCAAGTTTTGGGGTAAAGATGCTTTCATTTCTTTTGGGACTATCCCTGAAAATGGATGGTTGCCTGATCACACGGTTGCTTTATATTTAAATGAAGGGGCAGTCTGTATTGCAAACCATAATGCCCCAAAGTAGAGAGAGTTTATGGGGAATCATTTCTGCCATGGAGGCAGGGGCAGGGTGGGAAAGGGGGGGTATACCGGGGATATTGGTGGTGGGGAATGTGCACTGGTGGAAGGATGGGTGTTTGGTCATTGTGTGATTGTAACCCAAACTTGTTAACTATCTCACGGTGATTCAATAACATTTTTTTAAAAAACATGGTTAATTAAAATGTTTTAATTACCCCCCCAAAATTTTAAAAAATAAATCACAAAAAATTATTAAAATAAATGAAGGGGCAGCCAGACAGTTTTAAGATTTTGCTTAAAGGTTCTCCTCTATAATGTTCCAAGACCATATATCCAAAGTACTTTAAATTGCCCCTGAACATACTTGCAATTGGGGTTGCGGTGAGGAAACGACCACCTAGAGGTGCTCAAGGCTTTGTGCTCAGGGGACCAAACGTGATGCTGGGGATTGAACTAGGGTGGCTGTGAGTAAGGCAAATGCCTTAACCCGACATGGAATAGATACTTGTTTAAGATTCAAAGGTAAGAGAAAGAGGGAAAGAAGGGAGAAACTCCACAGAATTTAAATGTTAAAAATGACACCATGGGTCTCTAATAATACAAAGGTAAGATTAGGGCACGCTTCAGACTATGAATCTGGGTTCATTTACATCAAATTGCTACCCAATTTAAATTTTACATAATGACTGACCTAGGAGTGACAATTCTGATTTTTTTTTAAAAAGCACTAGAAAGAATCACAGATAGCAAAGACATTAGAATAACTTGGACAAGATAAAACAGAGAGAACCAAGAAAAGCCTGTGTAAGAGGAGGGGGGTGGGGATAATTGATCACCATGAGAATGGACATTAAAGGACTGAAGTAAAGCCTCAGAAAAGGAAATGAAAAATTAGAATTATATTCAGTTTCTAAGTTTTGCCCTGGAGGACAGGAAAACCACCTCAGATCTCTGTAAAGCACCTTAGTAAGAGGAAGCAAGGCTCACTCACTCACTCTGCATTCCCTTCAGCACCAAACAATGCTACATCTCCACCTAGTGACAGAATGGCCACTCTGCTTAAACCCACACAGTCTGACATGGGAAAATGACGCTTCGCTAGGCACATACAAAGCCAACACACGAGAGTACCTCCAAGTATAGAACCCCTTTAAAAAGATTCCAACTTTGCTCTCCCAGAACCTGTGAAACAGGGAAAGAACTCAAGGGCACTACTAGAACACAGTAAAGCTCAAGTTTAAGAAGACAGAGCTACAGCAAGGTAAGGTAAACTGCAGTGACCATGAAGCATGACAAAGTTGCAGATAATACACTGCTTCTTAGACATCCTTTGCGTTACAAAGCAGTCTGATCAGGTCACAGCTCTTCACCACACTCATTTGGGTGGGAACCCAGGGCTTCTTTTTTTTTCTTTTTTTATTAGTGAAAAACCATGAGGTACAGTTATAGGCTTACAAATTTTGTGCTTGGGTTTCAGTTATACAATGATCAAGTGCCCATCCCTCCACCAGTGCCCGTCATCCATCCCCATGGGTCCCAGCATCCCCCCTCCTACCCTCATCCCCCCCCCCCCGTCCTATCCTGCCTCTGTGGCAGGGTATTCCCCCTTGTTCTCTCTCTCTTCTTTTGGGTACTGTGTTTTGCAAGAGAGGCTTTGAGTGGCAATCATGTTTGGTCTATCGACTACTTTTAGCATGCTTCTCCCACCCTGGGAGGACCCTCACAACACCCTTCATTTGGTACTCTCTTCTCTATCTGAGCTTCCTTTTCACCTAGAGCCTGTGGCTGGCCTTCCATTCATGGAGCAAAATTCAACCCAGGGCTTCTTAAAGCCCAAACCTTTCTCCATCCAGCACCTGGAGAGGAAGGAAGAGGGAGAACATTCATTCCAAGGGCAACTGAGCAGAATCCTAAAGCCTCTGGCCAGAGGTTTAAAAAAAAGGAGGGCAGAGTCCATTAAAGTCATCTTTGGGGAATTTAGGATTGAGACACTCAAGCAGGATGAAAAGCCAAAGGACTCGCTGAGACTGTGACTTAGGCCCCAGCTTCTTAAATTGTGGGTCACCCAATGGTGGGGGTCACATAAAGTGAGTGTGGGACCCAGTTTGTTTGTTTTTTTAACATTTATGACTTATGACCAGCAAATACATGGTGTGTATATTTGCTTTAAATACCTATATTCCTAGTTTCGCATAAAAATTTCTTGGGTGGACGGGGGCATGGGTGGAAAAAGTTGAAGAAACCTAATCAAGCCTGCCAGTCCAAGACAGGACCAAAATGGTGACCTGGGTTGTAAAGATGCAGAGAAGACAACCTTTGTCTCGTGATTTCTGCATTCAATTTCTACAGCTCCAACTATGGAGTGTTTCTCGAATATCAGGGAATCTACTAGATCCTTTTAATCTGTTTCTTGAGCTGGCATATGTGGGGGCTCTTGCCATCTTACCAGTCCAAAAAGGTATCGTTAATAGTGCTGCAAAGAGCACAGGAGTGCAGATGGCTTTTCTGCATTGTGTTTTGGGGCCACTAGAGTATATTCCGAGGAGCAACCACAGTGCCTATAAGAAAAATAAAAGAGAAGGGGCGGGGGTAGGGGGGAACAGAGAAGTGTCTGACACGGAGGTAGGCTGGGGAGATGGGAGGAAAACTGGGGACACTGGTGGCAGGAAATGTGCACTGATAAAGGGATAAGTGCTGGAACACTGTATTATTAAAACTTAATCATGAACAACTTTGTACCTGTATATCTTACGGTGATTCGATTAATTTTTTTTTTGTTTTTTAAAAAAGAATCTGAAAGTGGGGGAGAGATTATTTGTGAACAAGAATAATGACATGCTCTCAGGATACCATCTGTTTGTCGTTAAGCAGTACACAGGGACAGGTAAGCAAACAGAAGCGACAGGCAAGTTTTGTACCAGGCATTTCAGTGTGTGCTTTTAAAATAATCCTGCCCAAAGATTTCTCATTCTATTTCCTGGTTTCTTATAAAGAAAGGAGGGAAGAAGGTCACAATGGAAGACACCACCCAGAAGATAACAGGAACAGCTTGACAACACAAATTCTAACATTCACTACTACGAGCCTATAATTTGCGGATGTGCAAAGGTAGATATTAATGTGCTAAACAAGCAGCAAGGAAGCACATTTCAGGGTTCTGCACATTCAATTAGCTTTAGGAAAGCTGCGTCCCACTTTCATACATTTATCCAACTGTCTAGTGAAAAATAAAAATATTGTCCCTGTCTTTGTACACGAATGTTTTCTACCGTCTGTCTCAGGAGGTCTAAGTCCGAGATCACTGCGCACTGGGCATCTGACTACACTTAAAGTACAGAGGAATGGGCTGGAGCAGTAGCACAGCGGATAGGGCATTTGGCTTGCACTCGGCTGACCCAGGTTCGATTCCCAGCATCCCATATGGTCCCCCGAGCACTTCCAGGAGTAACTCCTGAGTGCATGAGGAGCCAGGAGTAACCCCTGTGCATCGCTGGGTGTAACCCCCCCCCCCAAAAAAAACACAGAGGATTGTCAGTCAAGAAAATCAAAGGGTAGGGCTGTCATTAAAATCCAGAGTCCAACTCCCTCTATATCCAGATTCCTCACAGAAAAGGAAAAGGGGGAAATATTAGAGATAGAGACCCTGACTTAAAAGAGGAATGGAGATATCTCAGCAGGCAGGGGAAGGTCAAGAGTCCACAAACAATACAACGGGAGTGGCAGGGGATGGGCCCGTGCTGCTTCCTTGCCTAGATCTTGGGAGTAGAGGAAAGAAGAGCAGGGAGGCTAGGCCCTATGAGATATTTTGCTCGTGGGGCATTTGAGGTAGAGGCGCCAGTGCCTTTTTTTTGCTTGAATACCCAGAAGGCATGTTGCCTTGTGTGTTTCTCTGTCTTCATTCTGCATAAGGGCTTCTGCTTAAGTATTTGACACCCAGAAAATGGAAAGTGGAACCTGTAAGGAATGCAACAGAAAGCTGACTGCTAACGTTTGCTTGTGTCTACAGGAAGAAAAAAAAGCCTCCAGGCTTCCTGTGAGGTGCCAGAGTAAGAAATGCGACTGATTTAAGGTCAATATCCCATTGACGAAGTAAGATTATATACATCTGGCTGGGGAAACCATTTGAATATAGAGATTATGAGTCTGGTCCTCTGCCACCCCCTACTCACACAGCTCCACAGCTCAGCAAATGTAAAGGCAACAAAGAGACAGTCTTTGACGCAAGCTGGGGGAGCCTGTTCGGAAAAACCTGGAAAGTGTATGCCAGGAGGTGGGAGAGGAGAGCCCCGGTGGGAGACACAATCTCAGTGGGGTACGGGCTGGGGCTACGAGGCCACACAGAATAGCCACGGGACTAGAGAGTACTGAAGCGTTCCAGGGACCTGGGGAAAGCACTTGTAGCTGAGGAATCCACAGTCGGGGGGCGGGGGGGGAGGAACTGCTGTTAAAATCCAAAGTGCCCAGATATTGGGGCTATGGCTCTAGGGCTCTGGCTGTCCTAGAGTGAACCAAACTACTATGCTTTGTGTCCAATAAATCCCAAGAGGCCCACAAACCGTAAGCGGCTAAAACAGAAAAGCACACCAGAAAGAGGTTTAGATGCTATCAACACAAACATTTGGGGCCGGAGCACTAGTACTGCAGGTAAGGTGTTTACTTGCACGTGGCTGGCACGGGTTTGATCCGTGGCACCCCATGTGGTCCCCCGAGCACCACCAGTGCAGAGTCAGGAGTAAACCCTGAGCATTGCCGGGTGTGACCCCCCCCAAAAAGAAAAACAATCTTTAAAAACTCCACAAGCATTCAGACTAAGATTACAGAAAGGATTTGCAGTCTCTGAAAATTTCAGAGAGTAGTGGCCAGCAAGACTTACAGATTTCGGGGCTTGAGCGATAGCACAGCAGGTAGGGCATTTGCCTTGCACGCAGCCAACATGGCCGACCCAGGTTCAATTCCCAGCATCCCATATGGTCCCCCGAGCACCACCAGGAGTGATTCCTGAGTGCATGAGCCAGGAGTAACCCCTGAGCATAGCCGGGTGTGACCCAAAAAGCAAAAAGAAAAAAAGACTTACAGATTTCAAACCATAGTCCACAGTGCTCTCTCTCTCTCTTTCTCTCTCTCTCTCTCTCTCTCACAAACACACACACATACACACACACCACTGCTTACTGCTGTAAACCAGAACTATAGGTTGAAAGCCTATCAATGAGGTATAATCTCCCATTTGCAGCATTACTCAGTATGCAGCTTTTCCTGAACTAAGAAAGAACATGGTGACTCAGCAAACAACTTCACAACGTAACCAGTCGCCAAGCCGCCCTGTTTAAACGTAATCCTGTCTGAACTACCACGATGGCGGTCTGCTTACCTTTCACTACATCTGCTACATTGCAGGTGGGATCAATACTTCCGATGTGTTTGGGATGAGCTGGATTAGTATCACCGCCAAAGAGAAGAGCTAAACACAGACACACACACAAAAAGGGAGATGGTTAAAACAAAGCAGGCAGCGGAGGGTAAGCAGAGAAGCACAGGGTCATCTGGGTTTTAAAAGCATTTGCATATTTGCGAAAGTCATTTCAGCATCCACGTGGACTTAAAGCAACAGAATTCAGACAAGTAATAGGTGATGGATGTCAGGTGCCGTGGGAAGACAACCGGTCCAAAGACACATCTCACACCTGACACTAAAGCAGTGAGGTGTTCAACCCTTTCTCCCCAAGTCAACATGACTGAGCAGAGCTGATGCACCTTCTCAGTACTAGTCCAGATAATCATTCCCGATCTCACTAAATATTTCAAAAACGCAGGCTGCACCATTAAATCAGGTATGAAAAGTGTCTTCCATGTAAAGTTTGTTTGTTTGTTTGTTCTGGTATTTGGGTCACACCCGGTGATGCTCAGGGGTTAGTCCTGGCTCTGCACTCAGGAATCACTCCTGGTGGTGTTTGGGGGGTCAAATGGGATGCCAGAGATCAATCCCAGGCTGGCCACATGCAAGGCAAATGCCCTACCCACTGTACTATCGCCCCTACACCCCTGTAAAGGTTTTAAATGACTCTATCATGGAAATTCTTCTTCACTGTAATACACACCAAAGGTTTTCAATCTAACTTAAACTAGCTCCCAGGTCTCAGAAAAAAAAAAATCACTTGTACCCAAGGACTCTCCCACCTCCACCACACCAGCGCCCTCACGTGGTAGAACTGTCCACTTTGGGAAATATTAACATAAACCAACAACATTGTTCAGGTACTGTTAAAAGAACATTCAAATACACCAGATGAGAGACTTGCAAAAAAAAAAATACTTCTTAACAAGCCACAAGGAGTCCCCACCAAAAGTAGTCTGAATCTAAACATTTATTGCTGTACCCTTTATTTTAAATCAAGAAAAATTGGGAATGACTTATTCCACTGCACAAAAGGGGACTGCACAAATAAAGTAGTGGAGATCTTAGTAATGCAAATAGGCAAATACAGGCATTAGACAAAAATGTAAGTTCCAAAATGATTAAATGGGAGAAACACAGAGGTGCTTAACCAATGGTCTAAAATGAAAAACATGTACATTTACACAGAGACACATTGACTAGAAGGAAACTGATCTGCATCGTTTGGTTGAACAATATACTTAGGAGAAAAAAACCCTGTAAATTTCCTATAAAGTGGCATACATTTCTATTTGTGAAAGGCAATCTAAAATAAACCCACATTTAAGAGCTATCATGCCTTTAACTAAACCAAATTCCTTTAACTTTGATTCAGCAAAATGGATGATTTAAACTCTAGTTATGTGGATGCTTTTTCACAAGAACTACGAAATTAAGGAGAAACCAGGCTTAAAAGTTTTCTACAGAGGGAATTTTAGTTGTTTTTTTCCCCCTTCTTATCTGCTTCTAAGCTTGGAGAGTGGACTAAAACACTCGGCATGGTTATGGTTTGACAATTTGCTTCATCTAATTTCATTGATCACTGTGAAATAAAAGCTTGATTGCTCATCGAGCGCAGCACATTCAGTGTCTCCCAAGTACCGATGTTTTAAAATACAAAAACCATGTAGTGCTCAGAATAAAGATTAGAAATACTCTAAGAGACTCATGGAAACACAACTGTCTGGCTGCCGTGAAAGCTGGTTGCTTGTCCCCAGCAGGAAGGGGTCAAAGTCAGGACCTTCAAACAGGACAGTGATGACTCAAACCTGATCAATACAATGCTTTTCTTTGCTTTTCTTATTTTGCTTTTTGGGTTGCACCCGGCGATGCACAGGGGTTACTCCTGGCAGTGCTCAGGGGACCATATGGTATGCTGGGAATTGAACCTGGGTTGGCTGCGTGCAAGGCAAATGCCCTACCCGCTATACTATCACTCCAGACCTGACAATGCTTTTCAAGGACCTCTCTGAACACAGAATACTGATGCATCTCACTTAGTGGGGACTGGTGGGGAAGGGGGGTTAAGGAGTGGGAGTTATTGGTTTGGGGAACGATGGGGTGGCGGGATGAGGTAAGAACAGGAACTCAGGACAGTAGGAGTAGGGATATATTTGGCTCCACGGCCACCATGTCTGCAAACTCATCAGCACCGAACTTGGTAGAGGTCCACTTCTTGGCGAAACAACTCTCTGGTGCCCAAGGAAAGTGAACTGGGCCCAAAGCAGAGCCTCAACCACAGGCTCCTCGTTCTGATGCCATAATGGGGACCCTCTCCTGTTGAGACCCTAAGGTGGGGGAAAGCATGAAAGCAGGTATGACTGCCCACAGCCGAGGACTGTCTCCAAGGATGGTCTCGCTTTGGGCAGTCCACAGGCTGCTCCATTACCAAGGAGGCTGCTTGCTGTTTGCAGCCACTGCACCCGGGCCCCACGAGGCAGAGGGCACGGTCGGTTAAGTGGCGGCAGATGAACAGCTTTCTGACGGTGGGAGTCACTTCAGAAAAACAGAACCAGCAGTGAAATCTCGGCAGGCAAAAAGGCAGGGCGGTGAAAACGAAAAGCGAAGCAACGGGTAAGTATTTGGGAGACAGGACAACAAAAACGCAACTTACTGTGTTGATTAATAAGCATACGGAAAGAGATGCGGTTGGTATAAAATCGGTCCAGGAAATACTGGATGTTACTGCTAATGAACGGGTCAAACCCAAACTTCTCCTTGTACTCGATAACTCCTTGGGCCATGGTGGGAACCACATCATTGTGTCTATTTCTAACTTTAACGAGAACTTGCAGGAAGCTGTATGGGAGGCAAACAAAATGTGGTCAGTCTCAATAGCTCATGGGCTGATGGATTAATTTCTTGGAGCTCTCTCTTTAAACATCTAATTATACCTACTGAGTTTTTTCTACTGGTATTTTAAAAGTTAATTTGAGGGGCTTTTTAAGGTTTTTGTTCTGGGTTTGGTTTCTGAGCCACACCTGGGGTTCTTGGGGGTTACTCCTGGCTCTGCACTCAGTAATTAATTCCTGGTGATGCTTAAGGGACCATATGGGATGTCAGCGATTGGACCCAGATTGGTCATGTGCAAGGCAAACGCCCTACAGGCTGTAGTATTGCTCCAGACCCTGAAGCTGGGTTTTTGGGGGGTTTATTTTGTGGGAGAGGTGACCTCCTCAGCTCTCTGGGAGGAATTCAGAGGCCATACAGTGTCGGGATTAAACTGTAAACATCATGGTGGTGGGAATGTGTAATGGTGGTGGGATTGGTGTTCGAATATTAAATGTAATCAAATATTGTGAACTATTTTATAAAAATAAAATTTTAAAAATTTTAAAAAAACTCTAAGCCTCAGATATGCAAGTATGTGCACCAGCCCCATTAGTGCCGGCCTCAATCTGCAATGACACTTAGTATATAGAGGCCATCTACAACATTGCTCGCAGAAGGGAGCTGGGGATCACCCCCCCCCCCCAAGATAATCTGCCACCAATGTGGGCCTGACAGTTTGGTACTCAAGGGCCATGCAATACCAGGGATCCAACTTAAGGCCTTCCACATACTCAGTATGTTCTCTACCATGTGAGCTATCTTCCCACCCTCCACTGGTGTTTTTTTTTAAGATAGAGAAAATCATTTTCTTCACAGGCTATAAGGATATACTTAAAAAATCACTACTCAGGTTTATACTTGACATTTCCTGCAAAAAAAAAAAACCATCTTTCAGGGATATTAAAGGTACAAAGGTTTCAGTGAGGGAGGAGTACACAAATATACACTTTGTAGGAGACTGCATAAACAATTTCTTTTGTTTTTGGGGGGGGGGTGAAATTGACAGTGCTCAGGGCTTACTCTGGGCTCTGCTCAGGGATCTCTCCTGTCAGTGCTCAGGGGACCATATGCGGGATCAATCCAGGGTGGCTGTGTGCAACACAAGTGCCTTAACCCCTGTACTAGCTCTTGGGAACCAAATATCAATTTTTCAATGTCCCAACATTTAAAAACCATAGGAAGTGCAAGATCAAACCCAGGGAATCTTGCATGGGGGAGGGGTGCTAGTGCTGAGTCACATCTCCAACCCTGTTAAGTTTTTCAAAACAAAAAAGGAAAATTATCTCACCACAGTGAAAGGCAGTTACAAGATATAGAAAGAACCAAGACTGTTAAAAAAAAACGATTTGAGTATTCACGTATATTAACGATGCATGAAGAAATCTGTTAAGAATGGGAAGAATAGGACCAGGAATGTGGTTCAGCAACAGAGCTCTTGCCTTACGTGTGTGAGATCCTGGGTTCAATTCCCAGTATGGAAAAATAAAGGGACGTTAAATAATAGGAAGACAACTCAACAGAACTAAATAAAAAGCTTGAAAACACCAAGGGTGAATGAAATATGTGTGCATAAAATTTTAGTGTAACGAACCACAGAGAGCCCAGGGGTTAAGGCACTTGCCTAGTGTATTATCACCCCTGTTTTAAATGCTGGGAGCCACAAATGAAGCACCGCTAAGGGTGAGCACAGCCAGTTGTGGTCCCCCTCACTCGCTCGCCACTGCGCCCACACAAACCCAAATGAAAAAAGAAGTTCAATGTACTGATAAAGTAAAACTGATAAAGTAAAGATAGTAGGGAAACAGGTTAGCTAGTATAGCTTACTAACACTTTGAGTCATTTTTTTCAGTATTAAGTTGTAAAATAGGTTAAAAGATTTCACATGTGGGACCGGAGAGATAGCATCGTGGGTAGGGCATTTGCCTTACATGTTGCTGACCCAGGTTCGATTCCCGGCATCCCGTATGGTTCCCTGAGCAGTGCCAGGGTAATTCCTGAGTTCAGAGCCAGGAGTGACCCCTGAGTATCACCTGATGTGGCCCCCAAACCAAAAATAATAAATAAATAAAAGGTCTTTTGACAAAAAAATGAAGATTTCACATGCAGGCTGGGGATATAGCTCAAAGGACTGGAGTGCACTCTCTGCAGGCAGGGCCCTGGGATCTATCCCGAGCACAACATGGTTCCTCCAGCACTGTTGGGAGTAACAAGCCTGAAAGAAGACAATAAAGGTGAGAGAAGACCCCTGAGCACACCTGGGCATAACGGCCCTCACAAAAAAGATTTCAAGGTGAAAAAATGATATCATAGAAAAGATCAAAGAAAACTGGCTGAAATTCGTTGAAGCTTGGCGTTTAAAAGGTCATTATAAGCTTAATACCAAAGGCAGAAACCATAATGGTACAAATTATATATCAATGGAGAAATTCAGCAAGCCAAAAAAGAAATCAAAGGTCCGGAGTATCGTTCAGCAGGCAGGATGCTTGCCTTGCACATAGCTGACCCGGATTCAATCCCCAGTGTCAATATGTTACCATGGGTCCTGCCAGGAGTGATGCCTGAGTGAAAAGCCAAGAGTAAGCCCGGTGTACCGTGAGTATGGGCCCACCCCCAAAGAAAGAGAAAACCAAAGAAAATATATTTGCAAGAGTTACTATTCTTTTTTTCTTTAATTGAAATCACTGTGAGATAGTTACCTGGTCGGATTTCAGTCATACATTGTTCCAACACCCATAAGACTTACTATTCTTAATTTAAAAAAAATAGCACTGCACTGTAGCACTGTCCTCCCGTTGTTCATCAATTTGCTAGAGTGGGCACCAGTAACGTCTCCATTGTGAGACTTGTTGTTACTGTGCTTGGCATATCATATACGGGGAGCTTGCCAGGCTCTGCCATGCAGGCAGGATACTCTCGGTAGCTTGCCAGGCTCTCCCAGAGGGGAAGAGGAACTGAACCCTGGTGGGGTGTGTGCAAGGCAAACGCCCTATCGACTGTGCTATAAAAGAAAGTAAGCAAGGGATGTACTAACAGTGGAAACTGTTCCACAGAGTAAATGAAAATGCCAATAATTTCACTTTCAGAAATAATTTTCAAGAAAATTCAAATAATGCAGTGATGCTATTTTGTTGCAATACCCATCTGACTTCAAAAAGGTAATCAGAATATAGAGGGTCAATATGTCAACATATAACAATAGTCCAAAGAAAGTCATTCCACTCTCAGGACCTGATCCAAGGAAAATAACAGGATGAATTGCAAGAATAATGCAAAGCATTGTCAAACCAATGACAGAAGGGATTTGTCTTCTGCTGTTGGGTTGTTTGTTGGGTTGTTGGTAGCACTGTAGGTAGCACTGTCCTCCTGTTGTTCACTGATTTGCTCAAGTGGGCACCAGTAACATCTCCATTGTGAGACTTGTTACTGTATTTGGCATATCGTATATGTCACAGGGAACTTGCCAGGTTCTGCCGTGCAGGCAGGATACTCTCGGTAGCTTGCCAGGTTCTCCAAGAGGGGCGGAGGAATCGAACCCAGGTCAGCCGCGTGCAAGGCAAATGCCCTACCCGCTGTGCTATATCACTCCAGCCCTGGGTTGTCAGTAGGTGAGGAAACTATACGTGACATAACAATGGTAGAGAAACTGTATGTGATGGAATAATGGCATTGTCTATAATGCCGATACTGTTCTTTTTGGTAAAACCTGTCCAACCATTGGCAAAACCTATTCTGCAAAAATAGAATATGCATGTCTAAGGGAAAAGTATGGACAGAAGAAAAATATTAGCAGTGGTGCTCCCTGGTAATGAAAATTTGGCATGGCTTCATTTTTCCAGGGGCCACGCAGAGGGGTTGTATTCTAAGGCCACCAGGCCACACCGGGCAGTGCTGGGGTGGTGGCATGTAGTGCTGAGGACAGATCTAGAGCTATGCACATATGGAGCACACAATCTTCCATTTGAGTTCTATCTACTGGGCCTGAAGTGACTTTCCTGTACTTGGCTCATCTTATATTTCTCAATGATGAATATTTCCATAACAGATACACACAGAGACAATAAAGGTGAATCAACCAATTGTGAATTCGGTCATGATTATCTGTCAGAAATGCTATCATAAACAATTTGTCCTTTCTGGGGTACTTTTCCCAAACGTAATTATAAATTATAAATTATGAAAGTGAAACTATTCATTTTAGCAGAGAAATGCCTCAACTTTTCAGTGAGGCATTTCATTTAGCTTCCGGGGCGCTGTGAAATATTCTCATGAGGATGAACATGTCTGCCCTTTCCACTAATGGCACTTGACTCAAATGACTTGCCTGCCCTGATTCCTATGAACAGAAAAAGCTCTTCCTAAGAGGGAAAGGCTGGTACCATGAGGCTGTCACCGTCTGTGCCCTCCTTCACCCAACCCCAAATTTCCTGCCCACCTGCATGAACCAGGGCAAGTTTTATCTGGATCCTAAATGTTGAAGCCACAGAGCTCAGCTCTCATTTTTTTTAGCCTCTTAGTCAAACTAATTTGATTTCCCGAGAAAACAAAGCTTATGAGTTTGATAGCAATTATTTTTTAGCTGATTTCTAAAGAGTTCACTTTCACTTCTGCTCCTGACAAATTGTCTCATTTCCCTTTTTTTTCTCTTCTCAGTCTAATTAGAAGGTTTATTGATTTTATTGATCTGCCAAAAACTGTTGTTGGATTCACCGATTTTCTCAACTGTTTCTCTAGTTTCAGTTTTGTTGATTTCTGCTCTTAAAATGTCCTACTTCACTTCTCTACTGAAATAGAGGCTATTATGCACTTGCTTTTCTAGATTCTTGAGCACTAAGATTATTGATTTGTGAATATTCATTTAAAAATGTATATAAGCATTTAATGTTATAAATTTATCTCTAAAACATTGTATTCAAACTATTTCAAAATATTTTCCAATTTTTCCCTGGGAAGCTTCTTTCTTCTTTTACCCTTGGAATAATAAGAAAGTGTACAGTTGAATTTCTAAATATTTGGAAATTTGGTGGTATTTTTGTTATCTACAGTTTATATTATGGTGAGAGAATGTACCTTTGTATGAATTAAACACTGAGAAATATTTTTAATTTTAAAAAGGAGACATGATGTATAGATCCAACTCTGTTATTCACTACTGTTACCATCTTGGGCCAATCCCATGTACGACTCAGCTGTTTCCTTATCTGTGACTAGAAAAAACTGGGTTAAATGCTTTAATCCTTATCGAACTTGAGATTTCTCTAACTTCTTTGTATGAAAAATCTATGGTTTCTACTGAGAAATTCATCAGTTATGTTCATTCCTAGTGATGAGGCAGGAGAGGTGTGTAGGGGGCAAGTGGCGCTAAAGTTAATGACTTCTGCTTTTAGAAGGAGGGAGAAGCAGAAATACTTTCCATCAGCATAAGAATTTTGCAGTTCTGTGCATAATAGCAACAACAAACTAGGGTTGTTATGGGACAAAATCACACACTTTTATGTTTCTCCCAAATAAAACCATCAGAGCCTTTCTGAGCATAAATGTACCATCACCTTGAAATTATTTTCTTACACTGTAAAGGACTGCCTCCCAGGATGCAGGTACAGAGGCCACTGCATTCTTAAAACTACCACTAGGTGGAACATTTACTGCAATATTGTTACTGAGAACCTCACACCAGTTCACCTCCAGTACAGAAAGTATTTACGAATTAAGAGTTGGGGGAGGAGGTGAGAGGGAGGGCAGCTGGGCTTCTTGGGGGTGGGAGACAGGCACATTGGAGATGGGTGTGGTGTCAGAATTATGTTCATGAAAAACCATTGTTAACAGTATTGTAAAGCAATAAAATTAAGACATGGCAAAAAGAATTAGATCATGGGAGCTGGAAAGATAGTACTGCATGTAGGGCACACGTGGCTGACCCGAGTTCAATCCCGAGTACGGCATATGGTCTACCAAGCACCCCATCAGGAATTAGCCCTGAGCACCGCCAGATGTTTCCCATTAAAAAAAAAAAACTAACAGATCCTGAAGCATAATCTGAAAAGTATCATTAATCCTTTGGTGTAAGGTTAAATTCTTCCCTCAAAAAAATTTTAAAAGCAATTTTCAGTTGCTCTCCATTAAGAAGCATAAAGCTTGCATGCTAAGTGTACTTCTTGGTTCTTAATGACATGAGTTCCATTTCTCAAAATACGATTTTTTTAAAAATTCTCTTTCCCATGCCCCTTTACTACTGTACCCATGACCACAGGTTACACATATACTTGATTATGGAATCTGCACCTGCCTGGCTGCTATGTCCCAGACAGGACACAATCTGTTGTAGTGTGGGGGGAATGGTAGTGTCCCAATAGTAGAGCTCCCAGAACCATGCATGCTTGGCACCTTGATTGGGGCTGGGAACAGAACTTGCAACCTCCTGCTTGCAAGGCGGCACTTTTGCCATGAGCTATCCCTAGGCCTCTGCCAAGGTAATTTTACTTCCAGCTAAGGGTAGCATCATACTTACTTATCTAAGACTCGTGGATCCTCAGGGCTCTTATTCTCATATTCTAAAAGTTCGAGGAAACTCTGCATATACCTAAAAATAGAAGAGTTTCTATGTTAGATGCCTACCAAGTATGTACTCCACCTTTCCGCCTAAGAGTACCCCCAATTTTCCATCCTCTGCCATCCATGAAGTCCCGGGGCCTCAGGGAGCTCAAGTAATGTCATGCAAAACTCTTGGGTAGCTCAATTCTTCTCTGGGTCATCTTTTCTTTATTTCTCTAGTCACTAGTCCAGGAGTCTAGGCCTCAGTGGATCTGCATTCCCCTGAACACAGGGACTGGCTTGGCAATGCGAAGACCACTCCAATTCAGGGAGAGACAGCAACTCGCCCTGCTTTGGCACACAGTGCTATGTGGTTATGAAGGGGCACTGCAGCTGTTCTGCCACCAGGAGGAAATGGAGTCGGAAAACCAAGCAGATACCACACTTGCTTGAAAAATTAGGCCTGGGTCACGTCATGAATCTGAGTCAACCTTATACCCAAAGGTCATCTGATCATCGCAGGGCAACTGAATGGTTACTGTTGGTGAATCTGGAATTTTTTCCATTTTTTACTTTAATTTAGGGTCATAAAAAGTAAAATTATTTTATTTACCCAAATTATTTTTATAGTGTTTTGGAATACGTTTTTGTGATTTTTTTTAAATTAAAGCACCGTGATTTAGAAAGTTATTCATTGTTGAGTTTTAGACTTAGAATGTTTCGCACCGATCCCAACATCCATGTCAACTTCCCTCAACCAATATTCCCAGATTCCCTCCCACATCACCCCACAGCCTGCCCTCCTGACAAGGCACCTTTCTAGGTTGAGTTGTTAAAGTCTGGGTTTCTTAATTTCAGTGTTGTTGACTCTGTGGTTTGGATATCTGGCTTGATCATTCTTTAACATCACCTCAATTCCCTGACCTTCTCATGTGTCTCTTCTCCCCTTCCTTTCTTTTCTTTTCTTCTTTATTTTCTTTCATTCTCTTTATTTTCTTCTCCTCCCTATATGCTGAGGTCAAGGTTGATCTGCACATCCCCTCTTTTAAATATTGCATGCCCTCATCCAGAAGGATAAACACGGGATGATATCACTTACATATAGCATTTAGAATAATTGGAATTTATTTTTAATTTGGAATTTTCTTCTACTTATAAGTAAACATATCCTAACTGGGACACAAAGTCCATAGTTTGACTGTTCCCCAAAAGGGCACATAAAATGTTAGAATCACATTTGTGATACCAAACTTCAGAGCTAAGGAACTAGAAACTAGAAATTAAGAAGATTCCTTCTTGGGGTTGGAGTGACTGTATAGTAGGTAGGGCACTTTCCTTTCATGCGGCTCAGATTTGATCCTGGGCATCCCATATGGACCCCTGATCACTGCCAGGAGTAATTTCTGAGTTCGGTGCCAGGAGAAACCCTGAGCATGCTGGATTTGGCGCGCGCGCACACACACACACACACACAAAGAAAAGCAAAAAGAAGATTCCTTTCCAAAGTTTAATTTCTCCAACATAATGGAGGAGAAGGGATGCTCTCAGAAACTACTGCGGGGCCAGAGCAATAGCACAGCAGGTAGGGTGTTTGCCTTGCACGCAGCCAAACCAGGTTCGATCCCCGGCACCCCATATGGTCCCCCAGGCACCGCCAGGAGTAATTTCTGAGTGCAGAGCCAGGAGTAACCCCTAAGCATCACTGGGTGTGACACAAAAAGCAAAAAAAAAAAAAAATAGCTACATGTTCCAATTAACATTAGAACAGGAAATAAGTTCCTCAGAAAAAGAGCGGGAGAACCCGAGAAAATAGAACTTAGGAAGGTATGGCACTGCCACAGCTATATCCAGGCAGAACCTGCTGTGGCCCATGGGGATTCTGAGCCCAATTACTTAGCAACATGCGATCTCAGCTTTGGGTCTTAACATGTCCTTCATCCTACTTATTTCTAACAATGACCACTAATCCTCTCCAGAGGCTTGACATAAAGGATGAGGGGATCAGATAACTAAAATGACTAAGCATATAGACAAAATAATGATGATATCTGATTAATCAGCCTCAGTGAACTTTGTGACAATGTATAATACTAAGTGTGCTTACTTCCAATATTTTTTTAAAAGTTTCTAAGGGCATGTAAGACTATGGATTAGCTCTGGCTAGATCCTCAGATCAAACGTCCCAGAGGCCATAGTTGGCTATCATGGGTGATACCTTCTACCCTGCCACATGCCAACAGGATTTGAGGTGGGTTACCCATTCTTCCAGAAGGTGACACTGCATTCTCTCAATGGAGAAAAGTGGAAAGATCACGTGGCTCTTCCTACTGCAACTCAAGAAATCAAAGAGAGGGTTGGAGCCATAGCACAGAGGGTAGGGCGTTTGCCCTGCACGTGGCCGACTGGATTCAATCCCTGGCATCCCATATGGTCCCCCAAGCACTGCCAGGAGTAATTCCTGAGTGCAGAGCCAGGAATAACTCCTGAGCATCGCTGGGTATGACCCAAAAAGTAAAAAAGAAAAGAAAAGAAAAAAAGAAAAGAAAGCAAAGAGAGCAATGGGCATAGCCCGTGGCTCATGATCATTAAATGTGAGATCCTTAAATGTGAGGGCCAGGGTATGGCTCAGCAGTGAGCGCTTTCCTTGCACATGTGAGATCCTGGGTTCAATCCCCAGTGATGAGCGCATGTGTGTATACACACACACACACACACACACACACACACACACACACACACGATCACATAATAAGGAAATAACATGCAAACAAAATGTATGTTTCTAAAATGGAACCCTATAAGTGGAAGAGAGAGAACTGCTTTCTGTTTCAAGAGTCTTAGTGGAAAATCAGTATTAAGTCTGCATATTAGAAAATATTGACTGCATTACTGTTATTATTTCCTAACTCCATAATTGCTCCATGGTTTTCTAAAGCTGTTACAAAGAGATGAATGTAAAATATTTAGGATAAAGGACATCTACTTAGATAAGTTCAGGAAAAACTACATTTTACAAGGATACGTCATTTTATTGTGCTTCGCAAATAATGTGACTTTCAAACAGGACTACTGGCACTAATTTTCCAACAGTACATATTCATTTTGTGTCTCTGTGCCACAAGTATTAAGATACAGATACTGTTCTTTGTAGAGATAATGCAACTGCACACTAATAGGCCAGACTGTCATGAGTAAACATATTTATTATATGTGCTGGGAAACAGTTTATGTGACTCCTTTTATTGTGATGTTTGCTTTATTATGGCTTCTTAAACTATAGGCTGTAATTCCATATGGGGTCAAATAACTGAAAATGGGGGTTGTAAAAAGTATTAAAAATCACATCAAGGGGCTGGAGCAATAGCACAGCAGGTAGGGCGTTTGCCTTGCACGCGGCCGACCGAGGTTCGATTCTCAGCATCCCATATGGTCCCCTGAGCACTGCCAGGGGTAATTCCTGAATTCAGAGCCAGGAGTTACTGGCTTACCCATGTGCATCTCCGGGAGTGACCCAAAAAGCAAAAAAAAAAAAAATCACATCAAGATCAATTTCTTTACGATTATCAGGAAATGTTTTATCTGTATTCCTATATTATGTACCTTGTACCTGGGGTCACAAAAAAATTTCCAAATGAAAATGGTTGTGAGTAGCAAAGGCTTAAGGTTGGTCTAACCTATAGCATCTCGAAAAGGTTCACTACATGTGTGCATGTCATTGATATGGGTTTGGCAGTGTGGTATACTGTAAATATAAACATATACACAGGCATACAATATGTTTACATATGTACACAGAGAATGAGAATCTGAATGAGGAAAAAAACAAATGCTGCCCAATGCTAACAACTAGTAAATGTGAGGAAAGGTATTTGTTAGTATCTATAATTTAGTGGAGCATCAGCAATAATAAAGTATCTTACCATCTCAACAACCACAACCTAGATTCGCTGTGACAGTAGTCCCAGTGTGTACTTACATACATTTTGTTGAAAAATCTCTAATGATGGTCTTGAAGCGATTAAAAAAAAATTTTAAGCATCATGCAAAAAAAAGGATGTGCTGCTTCTAATGAAGAAGTTGTGAATTTAGGCAGAATGCAGGTGACTATAGCATCCAGTCACAGTTCCCTCTCTGAGTTAACCTGGTGCACAGGGACAAGCTGTAGGTTGTCTGGAACAGGGACCGCACACCATGCCTATAAGGTCCCATTTAGTCTCAGACCTAAGAATCTATTACAGGTGGTCCACTGTCCTCCTGTTGTTTGATTTGCTGAAGCAGGCGCAGCAACATCTACATTTTGAGATGACTTGTTACTGTGTTTGGCATATTGAATACGTCACGGGTAGCTTGCCAGGCTTTGCCGCACAGGCGAGATACTCTCGGTAGCTTGCCAGGCTCTCTGAGAGGGGTGGAGGAATCGAACCAGGCTCAGCCGGGCCAGCTGCGTGCAAAGCAAACGCCCTACCACTGTGCTATCACTCCAGCCCATTACAGGTGGTAGTCCAAGAAATTACATCGATTGCCCCTTCTCTAAGCTGACCCATGGCCCCCTTTCTGTCTGCATCATCCCTTTCCCTACAATGCTCTTCCTCTTCCTTCCCCTACAATGCTCTTCATGTCCCTATTGATTCACCTAGCTGGCAAGTATCAGGAGACATCTCCGTCCCCTCTGTGATCCCAGAGCACCACCCTGAATGCGGGCTATTTCATTTTTTTTTCATTTCACATTTCATCATCCTGTTATTCGTCGATTGCCTCGAGCAGGCCCCAGTAACGTCTCTTTCATCCTAGCCCTGAGATTATATTCAAGGCTATTTAGGAGAGTGAGACCCATCATTGTTACTGGTATTTGGCATATTTGGTATGCCACGGGGAGTTTGCCAGACTCTGCCCTGTGGGCAGGCTACATTCGATAGCCTGCAAGTTTGTCCAAAGTAGAAATAAGACAATAAAATGTCATAAAAAAAAGTTTTGTTAAGATGCGGGCTATAGCGCACTTTTTTCACCTGGCCTCAGTCTCCTTCAGCTTTCTCTCTGCCGCCTTCTACCTGAGTTTTCCTAAACGAGGCTGGCGTTTCTCGATTTCATATGCCAAATCCCTTCCTAAAAATCCATCTGCTCTTCCACCTTCCTGCTTGCCAAGCTCACTTGTGTTACCTAGCTGGGTAGCTTAGAAACAAATCAGCCGCCCTGATGAAAAGGCATGTGCCTGAAGCTTCAGAGCCAGAACTGACTGAGCTCCCAGTTATGCTCTGTTAACAATTTTCACTCTCTCTGGGTCTAGCAAGAGAGTGTAGTGCAGCAGGTAGAGCACTAGACTTGCACACAGCTGACCCTGGTCCACTCTCCAACACCCCATATGGTTCCCTGAGCCACGCTAGGATTTACTCCTGAGCGCAGATTCAGGAGTGAATCCTGAGCGCTACTGGGTGTGGTCCTCAACCAAAAAAAATACATTTCTTCCATTCTATCATGAGGGACATGAAGCAAGGACTGCAGATTTTTCCACCTGCACTTTGTGAGAAAAGGCTCTGTGTGTTCAAAAAAAAAAAACTCCTGCCTTCAAGGAATTTCTTTGTTTTTTAATTGAATTTTATAATTTTTTAATCTAAGACTCTAAAATTTTTAATATGCCAGACACAGTAACAACAAAGTCTCCAATGGAGACGTTACTGGGCCCGCTCGAGCAAATCGATGATCAATGGGAGGGCCTTTACTTTACTTTAAAATTTTTAAATAAAAAAGAATTATTATCTCATGAAAATAATATTGGAAATAGAATTTTTAAAATCTAATTAAAAAACTGTAACTTATCAAGTTACTGATAGCTGAGTTTTAGGCATAAACATTCAACACCAATCCTACCACCAGCATCAATTTCCCTTCATCTGTGTTCCTACACTCTACCCCCCAACCCACATCGCCCCTACCCAGCCACCTTGACAGGGACATTACAAAGTGGCTGCAGCTTTGTATCTCATGGTTTCAGTGTTGCTGGGCCTGTGCTTTGGGTATACAGCTAAACCACTCTCCCACATCACCCATATAACTGAAGCCCTAACCCCTCCATCGCTTCCCTTTCTCACCTTCTTCCTCCCCCCTTGATTTCCTTTCTTCTCTAAAAGGAAAACAAGGAGCCAAAGAGATAGTACAGCAGGTAGAGTACTTGTCTTGCCTGTGGCTGACCCAGGTTCAATCCCCACCATCCCGTCATCCCATATGGTCCCCTGAACCCTATCAAGTATGATTCCTAAACACAAAGCCAGGGGGTAAGCCCTGAGCACTGTCAGGCATGCATGCCCGCACCCCACAAAAAAGGAAAACAAAGGGGTGCAGGGCTGAGACTTGCTTTCCCCAGCCCCAGAATCACAGGTGGCTACTACATTGTTCTTCTTTTACGCTTTTCTGTACTTCCTAATATTTTCCCTTTGAGACCCACATTTATAACCAGAAAAAGGAAACTTGAAGAGTCAAGACAGTAGGCAGCACAGTTGAGATGGACCACTTCAAGTCGTCAGTTTAAAAAATAAAACACATTACTTGGCAATGCCAGCTCCCCTGAGTGAGTCTCTCCCACACAGGTGGCCCAGGACATCACTGCCAACTGTTCAGAGCTTTGTGGGAAGACTCATCTGATGTTACCTTATGGACTTACCAGCTCTGGACCAAGCCTACTGAAGGCCGATTAAGTAAATTATCAGGCAGTAGGTTAACTTCTCTCATTGTATTTGCTAGACGTACAGGAAGCTCCTTCCGTAGAAACATGTATGAGGTCTTTTCACAAGCATTGTCCCTTCCTATTAAGAAATAAAAAACATTTCATGATTTTACAATCTAACAGCCAGGATAATAAAGTATTCTCCTATGGGCACCATCACTAGATGGGGAGAGAAACTCCTGCGGTCTGTTAGCTAAAGTTTTATCCTTGAAAGTAGAAAGTTTAGGGGGCTGGAGTGATAGCACAGCAGGTAGGGTGTTTGCCTTGCACGCAGCTGACCCGGGTTCGATTCCCAGCATCCCATATGGTCCCCTGAGCACCACCAGGAGTAATTCCTGAGTGCATGAGCCAGGAATAACCCCTCTGCATCGTCGGGTGTGACCCAAAAAGTAAAAAAAAAAGTAGAAAGTTTAAGAACATCATCTAATTAGCATACAAAAAGAACCAAATCCTGAAAACACTTTTTCTCCCTTAACATACAAGAATTCCCAGTATTACCAGTAGGGATTGGAATTTGCTTTCCAATAGCTGCCAAGTACAAATGCTAAAGAATGTGAAATTCCACCCCTGATCATAAGGGTTTCCAGCAGGCAACAAACAGATCCATTCATTCAACCCATATAGTCACCTACTGTGTGCTGTTTCCTCAGATTTCCTCAGGTTCGGTTCCCCCCCTCCCGCCATCCCTCCCCCCGCCCCCCCCCGCTCCCCCCCTCTCGCATGCAGAACTCTGCCACTCTAAGAAGCAGTGACAAATGGCAGTTCTGAGTCAGTGGATGTGAAAGGAGCCAAAGAAATCCACCCAGGGTGCTTAGAAGCTGAGTGATTGACTCCAAAGCTTGTGTGGGCTGTGCAGGTGGGTAGACCCGCTGAGCAAAGCATCCCCTTCCAATAATGACCAGGGGAGCAGGAGTCAGGGTTAGAGGGTGGGCAGAGGTGGAGCAGACAAGAGCTCTGGGGAGAGGGATGCATCGCAGTCCAACTCCCCCATTTGGGGACTAACAAAGCTTCGGGACATTTCTTAACCTGAGTCTCAGCTGTCTTAGTCTTGGAAATGGCAAAGATAGCACGTGCCAAACCCACCAGGAAGCAGTGTCCAAAGAACTCAAGTTGGGGCTGGAGTGATACCACAGCAGGTAGCGTGTTTGCCTTGCAGCAGCCTGCCCGGGTTCGATCCCTGGCATCCCATATGCACTTTGAGGAGCACTTTGAGGAGTAATTCCTGAGTGCAGAGCCAGGAGTAACCCCTGAGCAAAACCAGGTGTGACCCCCAAATCCTCCCCCTGCAAAAAAACCCAAAACAAAGAACCCAAGTTGTACTTCTGGTCTCTAGTATTCTTCTTTTTTTTTTTTTTTTGCTTTTTGGGTCACACCTGGTGTTGCTTCCTGGCTCTGCACTCAGGAATTACTCCTGGTGGTACTCGGGGGACCATATAGGATGCTGGGAATCAAACCCAAGTCAGCCGCGTGCAAGGCAAACACCCTACCCGCTGTGCTGTCGCTCCAGCCTCATCTCTAGGATTCTTAGGGGGTTCACCCAATTCCTTCCCATTCTACAGGCCTCCTTCTAAGCTCCGTTCCTTGGAGGCTGGCTGGAACTGAGCACCCTAAGGGCCAGGCCCAGAGAGGGCAGCAGGGCTCATAGAACAAGATCTCCAACCCTCTGCTTTTGCCCAAATGTGATAAAGGCAACAAACGAAAGATTCAGAAATAAACCCAGTTTTCTAACACTGCCAACCAAGTGACTGTTTATTCCTTTCTTCTTCCTACAAAGTAAGACTAAAATGAAGGCCTCCACTTTAGAAAGTCACCCGCAGAACTTGTCTCTCCACCCCATCACCCCCACCATCGGTCCCCGAACCTGTCCCTTTCTCCATTTTCAAATATGGTACAATATAAGATGAAAGTCTCCCTTCATATTACCCAAGGATATTGAAGACCTTGGTAAACCTTTAACTAATTGCTGATTCATTCACTTCTCCCCTAAGGGAAAAACTCCAAGTAAGGAAGAAATAGCAATCTCCCACAGACAGGCTATGCAGTCCTGTGCCCTTAGACAACTGACATTTAAAATTATTCTGACTGGGTCTGGGATGTGGCTCAGTAGTACAGCTTCTGCCACAAAAACAAACAAAAAATTACTGTTTCAGAATCCTACGCTGTTCGACAAGAACATACTTCTTTATAGAGAATCATTTTGAGTACACTACAAATGCGGATGTTTAAAACTAAATCCCGTGACTCAAATTGCAAAATAAAGGATCTTGGAGCTCGTTAAGTTACAATAGACTTCATCATTTTCACAGACCAGAAGTAAAATATTCTGCATCCTGGTTACATAGAAAGGGCATTTTTAAAAAAAGCACAAAAGGTAATTGTGTATGTCAAGACCATAAGTGTTAATAATACTGTTGTAAATACTGTTGAAATTATGTTATTTTTTATTTTAATTTAATTTTTACTTTTAAAAATTTTATTATAATTCTATATTTTTAAACACTGTCAGGTGTGACCCCAAAATCCAACAAAACAAAACACAACTTTTTCACAGCAGAATCCCAGCCCATTTCTTAGACATAAAGGACTTTCTGAACACATAAGAGTACTAACAGTCCTGCCTGTGGGATCCAGATTTGGGAGTCAGGATTGAGGTAGAGCTGCAATGAAATGCTAGAATACTGTGTAAGAATTGTTATGATAGAGACCCAACTATAGGACTTCAGAAAGCTCTGATGAAAGAATCAGAAAGCAAAGGTTTCCTGGTGACCTCTACTCCAAATATCACTCTTATGCTGTTAGGGGACTAAGAAAATCATTTACTATCATAATAATATTGTTATCTTAGCATAGTGGGTAGGGCGTTCACCTTGCATGTGGCCGACCGGGGTTCAAATCCTTCGTCCCTCTTGGAGAGACTGGCAAGCTACCAAGATTATCCTGCCCACACGGCAGAGCCTGGCAAGCCCCCTATGCCAAAATAGTATTGTTGAATATGCCAAAAACAGTAACAATAAGTCTCACAATGGAGACGTTACTGGTGTCCACTCGAACAAATTGATGAACAATGGGAGGACAGTGCTACAGTGCAGTGCTACTTTAATTTTACCAAAAGAAAGGTTGGCTATCTCCCCGCTGGTGGGAATTAGGAAGCAGGGAAGAAAAGGAAGAACCTTGGGGTGCTGAATTTGATGTGTGAATATGAAACTTGGAATTTAAAGAAATTTCCTGAGTATATTACTGAGGAAATTTGTGACCATTTACAAGCTTTGATGTCGATGTCCCCAGCATCTTAGGAACAGCCAATCAGAAGCCTAAGGACGGCGCTGTGGGTAAGGGAATAAGTGAGAAGTAGGCTATTGGGTGCTCAGTGGCTAAGTCCAGTTCATGTCTGCTCTCAAAACCCAGGTGCTAGATTGTCTTGGCACTTAAAAAACTTCATATTTGGGGGGCCAGAAAGATAGTACAGCAGGTAGGACATTTGCGTTGCACACGGCCAACACGGGTTTGATCCCTGGCATCCCATATGGTCCCCCAAGCACCTCCAGGAGTAATTCCTGAGTGCAAAGCCAGGAGTAATCCCTGAACATCACTGGGTATGACCCCCCCCAAAAAACTTCAGATTTTAGGAAGGTAAAAGAAATATAGATATGTTCCCCTATTTAAGGGTGCCTATGCAGCCCTAAATAATGGGTACGGGAACCATAGCGCTACAGTGAAGTCTGGGAACATTTACTCTGAGCAAAACAAAGACCAGAAGTCCCAGGCAGTCCAGGTCAGGTTTTGTCATGGAATGATGTCTAGCATCAAAGGAAGCAAAAATGGAAGTTCACTTTTTAGAGCTGTGGGGCCTTCAGAATTGAGAGGAAAGATGGCCACCCCACAGGACAGTCACTGCCAGATCAGGTCGGACTGAGTTTGAATACACAAGCATCAGGAAAGCAGGCAAGATCATTACAAGTGGACATCCTGGCACAAGAATGAATAAAAGAAATTTAAAAAACTGGGGCCAGAACAATAGTACAGCAAGTAAGGCATTTGCCTTGCACACAGGTGACCCAGGTTCAATCCCCAGCATCCCACATGGTCCCCCGAGCACCGCCAGCAGTGATTCCTGAGCAGAGAGCTAGGAGTAACTCCTGAGCACTGCTGGGTGAAGTTCCCCCCAATTAAAATTAAATGAGAATTACTTATAGTGGAGAATGGGCACTGGTGGAGGGATGGGTACTCAATCATTGTATAACTGAAATAAAATTAATTGAAATTAAATGCTAATTTTGTTTTAATAAAATAAAATAAAATTTATTGAAATTTTGCTAATCCTAGAAAGGTTGTAAAGAGGGTTAAAGAAGTACTTTCGGGGCTGGACCGATAGTATATCGGGTAGGACATTTGCCTTGTATGCGGCTGACCCAGGTTCGATCCCCAGTGTCCCATATGGTTCCCCCAGTACCGCCAATAGTAATTCCTGAGTACAGAACCAGGAGTAATCTGAGCATCGCTGGGTGTGACCCAAAAAGCAACAGGAAAATAGTACTTTAACATTCAGAAGTTCTAAAAATTCAGAAGAGGAGGCTCATTCAATAGCCACTGACAAAGTTGTGAGCTATGCTAAAGCCCAACAAGACAAGGCCCTCAGGTGCGGGAGCTGGCAGTCCACTACTGGCTAAGTGATTCTGGTTTTGAGCAGTTGCCTGTGTTCATTTGGGGGTTGACTATTATAAAAGGATTCAAGTATGCTCTGGGCCCTACCATACACTTGATCTTACTTCATCAAGTCTGCACTAACAAGAAAAGGCAACTAACTAAGCATGCTCTGCGATACACAAGTTCAGGAAGCATTTAGTCTAGCTGCCTTGGATGGTGAACTGGAAAGAAACGATGGTATCCTGGAGCACCGACTAAAGTGGCCACACTATGGTAGTTTCTCTATGGCTTATTAGAAGACGAGGTAGATCAGGCTTTTCAGAAGTTTGTATTTTTCTTTTAAAAAGTACCTGAAGAAACCCCAGTTTGCCTCCTACATTCTAATTTAGCTTTAGAGACAAATTCTTTGTACTCAGATACCTTAATTATACATCA